CCTGGTGCCCAAGGACGCAGATAGAGAAGGTTGTCCAGGTAGAACCACAGACCGCTTTCCAATATCCAGTCGCACATTGCCTGTGATGGTAGCTGTATTAACAGGAGACGATCGCCCAGCAAAGAGACTCGAACAAGTCCATCACGCCCCCAGATTCTATTTGCCCACCGACGAAGCACCGGTAGCTCTAGCATCTGATGCAAAAGTTTCCCCACTAGACTATGTTTCCAACGAAGAGAGCCTTCCTCGCGAACGATCTGAGGCATTCGGAGCCCTCCTTTGTAGATCTCTGGCTTGATATAGGTGAGTCGATTGGCCTCCGAAATGCCAAACAAGTCCGCCCAGGGCTTCATAGGAACCCCCTGAGTCAAAACGGTGGCCGGCACCTCTGAGGTAGCCATCAGAAGAGATTCGGAAGAAAAAACGGAGACGAACTATGGCCGGCGCAGGTGCCGGCACTGCGGGGCTGAACATGGTATCATAGCTTACAGCTATGGAATTCGATAAATAGCCACTCGTTTGAACTTGATGATGATAGCCTTTCCCTTCGCCAAACTACTTCAAACTCTAGCATTATTACCGCATTTATTTCCCATTATAAGGCAGATTTGCCCTATGGGAATTTCAGTTTCAGACCTTTGTTGAAGGGAAAGGTTTATTTTGATTGCTTCATGGTTCTTTGCCACAGACACAGGTGATCACTTATACATAAGGAGAAATGACTACATTATCCTTTCTTTAGTATAATGTATTATTCTAGCGAAGAGAAAAAAGAGGGAATTGTTTAATTTTTTTTTATTATTGGTTCAACTGTCCTGGGATTGAGAAAGCCTTTCTACAATTTTTCCATTCCTCTTTTGCAGGTCACGAAAAAAAGAACCCTAATCTAGCTGACTTCATTTCATTCACCGGCTATCCTCCAATGACGACCTTCACCACCGACGACAACCCAATGTAGAAAAGTGAATGGAGAAAGAATCAACGAAAGTTGGAGCAGTTTCACTTTCGAGAAGGGGATTGGGATATTGAGATGATAGTGCTCACTCGAATAGGGACAAAGACGTTGGGGGTTAGGACGATAATGATGTTGCGGAGGTAGGAGTGGTGAGGGAGGGTGAGGTTACGGATGGTGAAGGAAGGGAAGTCAAATTTGGTGAATTTGGCGGTGGTGGCAATCACGTGAGGAAAAGAAGGAAAGGACAAAGGAATGGGGAAAATGAATCATCACTAGAATCGACTACGATTTTTCCTGGGAGATTAAATTGAGTTAGCTTTCATTTTAAGCTGGTAGTTAGATATTAAATTTTGTAGAGCGATAGGAGCTCCTCCAGTGGTGTATTTTGTCAAGCCCTAAAGAGGTGTAGAGCGGTGAGGAACCTTATGAAAGTGAAAGCTTTGAGCGACGTTTCCTCTTTGATTCCATGCATTTGATTTCGGAGAGTGGTGTACTCTGTTAGGGTGGGAAGATGTTTTTTTTTTCTAATTATGAATGCAAAGACCATTCAACCTTTGGTGGGCCTCTCGTCAAACCCTGGTTCTCTCTTCCCTCCTTTGCCACATATCTCCTAGATTCGAGTTCTCCCAAAACCCAAATGAGGTCCCCCGTCAGTCATCATTGTCTCGCTTGTTGCGTTTGCCTGTTGTTGCATGTTGAGTACCTTCTTCCTTCTCTCGTTGTCTGAGGGATGCCCCCACATCGCCACCATTGCCATCGCAGTTATCGGCTTTGGATTCGGGCAGATTTGATCGAGGAAAAAAGAAGTGTAATAGCTAGGAGTTTTGTTTGACTTCAATTCAGGGAGTGTTAATTTGGGATGAATTTGTATTGTAGATCCCTCCCCTAAAATATTTTAATTTCTTAGCTCAGTTGTGTTGGGGTTTATTAGGCAATTTATATTTGGTTAGTTCAGTATGAGAATCTAGTTTTGTTTTTAAAGGATAAAAGAGTATTTGAAAAGAAAAAATTAAATAATTTCCTCAAATTTTCTAGTGGAATAATCAATGTTCAAGAAGATGTTAGGCGCTATCTAGGCGAGAAGGCACCGTCTAGCGCCCAGACTGTTAGTCGTTGTCTAGGCGAGATTAAACATTGAAAAAAATATGATAGACAAACCATATTCCACAAAAATCCAAGTCGTCATATCATTATTCATCCACTCATATACACATACAACCCTTTTCCACAATCCCAAACATCCCAAGTCGCCAACCATGAGGATGGATCTCACTGCTAGTCGATGAGGGGGAGCTGCTGGTCAAATGGAAATGGGAAATCTAATAGGGTTTGAGATTTTTCATGAATAGGCTACACTTTTCCCCTTTAGTAGTTGTTCTGGGCGTTGCCCACCATAGTGAAAACGCGTTTCCGAGTGTCTAGGCGCCAATTAGGTGTTTTTCATGGAGATTAATCGTTTAGCACGCCTAGATCAATCACCCAGGGCTAGACGGGACGATTTCCTCCTGCCCAGCTATTAATCGCTCCTAGCGAGAGATTAATCGCGTCTTCTTGAACACAGTGAATAATATAATTATATTAAAGAAATGGTAATGTAGCCATTTCTTATATTTTCACTATCACTTGACGAAGATAGCGAAGGAAGAACACGTCTGTTATTATGTTTTGATAAATGAGTACACTAGTGAAAAAATATAGTAAAGGGACACGTTTGTTAATTTGCAATAGTAGATAGGTATAAAATTCTAGGGTAAACACTAATTATTAGCCAAACTTTTTTTCGCATTGTTTTTTATTGGGCTAACCTATTGAATTACTAATAATGAGCTAATTTTTACCTTGCAGTTAACAATTTTGTTAGTAATATTGACTTGGCAACATGATAGTAACTTCGACGAGACATATGAAAGTCAATATTCCAAAAGTTTACTATTTTAACTCAGAAAGAGTTACAAAATTGTTAACGATTACATGAAAATGACTAATATATATTACGAAAAATTTATTAGTAATTTAATAAATTTGAGTGAATTTTTTTGAAAATTCTAGGGGTAATTGCATGGTTGGTCACTGAGATTATAAAAAACGTTCATGTTTGGTCACTGAAAATATTTAAATCTAATCTTGGTCACTCAAATTAGTTAAATGGTTCAAGTTTGGTCACTCTCCGTCCAACTCCGTTAAATATGTCTGATGTGGCAGTCAACCCTCAAAGACCGTTAACTCGCTGACGTGGCAATTAAAAAATAATAAATAAATTAAATTTTAATCTTCTACCATTTCCAACTCATTTTCACAAAGTAAAATAAAAAAATAAAAAAATATTATAATCACAAATGGAAAGAGTGGCTCCCTCCTCCGCCACCACATCACTTCCCGCAATCTCCATCTTCATGTTCATACTGCCTCTCCTCCCTTCCCAGGCCCCAGAATTCCTCAGCCACACCCTCGACACTCGCGGTTGGGAGTTCCTCCACCTCGTCTTCGTCGGCATCGCCGTCTCCTACGGCCTTTTCAGCCGCCGACGCAACGCCGCCGCCGCCGCCTATTGCAACGCCGCCGCCGCCGCCTATTGCAACGCCGATCGGAAAGAAACCGCCACCTCTAATAACAACAAGTTCGACGTCACGCAATCCTACATCTCCAGATTCCTCCCTGTGTCCTCGGTCTTCGACGACGACGTGATCGGCAGCGGCGACGGTGCGGAGACAGCCAACAAAGTGCAGACGTGGAGCAGCCGGTACTTGCGGAACGAGCCTGTTGTTGTCGTCGCCGATGACGACGAGGGAGAAGGAGAAGAACGAAGCAAGTTGATTCGGAGCGAGAAGCCGCTGCTCCTACCGATTAGGAGCTTGAAATCGGCGGAATCGGCCGGCGGTTCTGTGGCTAGGTCTTCTCCCGCGGGGAATTCGAAGAGGTTTTCGGGAGCTAATAAGGTCGTTGATCGAAGCGAGGTGGAATTCGAAGACGAATCGAAGGCTAGCGTCGTGCTTCCTTCTCCAATTCCATGGAGATCCAGATCTGGAAAATTCGAATTCAAAAAATCCTCCCCGGATCTGACGGTTGCAGTTGCTTCTACTCCTCCACCCTCGCCGCCGCCTCCTCCACCAGCTCCGCCAACGACGGTCTCCAGATCGACGAAGCGGTCCAATTCTCCTGCTGCAGGATCTGATTCACCGATTTTCTCCGAGGTACAAGCCAAGAGTGGTGAGGAAATCATCCTCGACGAGACCGACCTCCGCCACCGCTGATTACGGCCGGGATTCTCCTGTCAGGCAACTGAATCAAAGCTTCACAAACGAAATGAAGACAATCAGAAACGAAGAACTGCACGCCGCGGCAAGCAATTTCATTAGTCAGCCGAATTTCTCGGAGTTTCCAGCGGCGGCGGAGAACGAACGGGTGGAGAAGCTGGTGATGGAGGACGAGGATTCGTCGGAGAAGGAGTACGAGGAAGAGGAAAATGACAAGGTCGCTTTGCTGGCTGCTGATGGTGGCGGCGGTGGTGGTGAGAGCGGCAACGACGACGGGGAGGTGGTGGTGGAGGGAGCTACTCTTTCAATTTGGGATTATAATAAATTTTTTATTTTTTTATTTTATTTTATTGTGAAAATGAGTTGGAAATGGTAGAAGATTAAAATTGATTTTATTTATTATTTTTTAATTGCCACGTCACCGAGTTAATGGTCAACTTTGAGGGTTGACTGCTACATCAGACATATTTAACGGAGTTGGACGGAGAGTGACCAAACTTGAACCATTTAACTAATTTGAGTGACCAAGATTGGATTTAAATATTTTCAGTGACCAAACATGAACGTTTTTTGTAATCTTAGTGACCAATCATGCAATTAACCCGAAAATTCTATTAACACCTTTAAATTTAAAATATTTATTTTCTTCTCTTTCAATTTTTATTCTCATTTTCATTTTCAACTAGTTTCTCTCTATCTGTGTTCAGACAAAACCAAACAAACAAACCCGAGCTCTTGGTGGATCAGAGAATCCGCCCATAGCCACCACCGAAAGCCAACCATCAACCGAGATGGTGGAAACCCGGCGCAGTTCCTCCGCTTCCAAACGCCCTATTCCTTCCTCCGCCCTCTCTTCCTCTCCTCTTCCATCGAAAAGATCCAAGGTTGAACTTTGAATTCTTGGCGGAATTGTTTTTTCTTTGTGTTTCTGTTTTTAGTTCCCTTTTTCTTTATTGTTCCTCTGTCTATGGTTGATTCCTGAGGGTGATTTGACTCGATGTCTCTCATTGTTTGTTTTTTTTTTGTGGGTACCAGTCAGCGGAGGCGGCGGCTGGTGCTGCTGCAGCGGAGGCGTCATCGTCGACGAACGATGATGCACTGGTGTCTGTGCCGATTGAAACCCTTACTGTGGCTAAGGATTCTGGTTCTGTGCCTCGTATGCCCGACTTATCATCCTCTGATCCGCAAGTGGCTGGCGCTTCAAAAGACGTGCCTTCTGATGGCGTCAAAACTTCTGATAGAGACGCCATGGATGCGGAAGTTGAGGATCTGGTCTCTCTGCTGACTCAAGGTGCAATCTTTCCTCAATCTTGATGCATGCTGCTTCTGGGTTTTAAAAATGAATCTTTCTTTCAGGGTTTGTTTCCGGGAGGTGGGGATGATTTGAGTTTTGTTTGATTTTCATTTGGGTGTAGGTGGAGTTGCATTGAACAGAGAGAAATCCAAAGCAGTTAGTGTACTATCTACTCGGCCTAAGAAGGGGCAAAAGAAGCCTGAGAAATTGGATCAGCAGGTTGCATGGGCCAAGCTCCTTTGCCAGTACTCGAAGGTGGGTTCATTTCACCTTTAGATTGTATTATGTACGTGTGCGTGGGTGGGTGGGGTGAGTGTGTCCCTCCTTGTGGTGTGTCACCATTCTCTGTTTCTTCTATTGTTCTATCTGTTTTGTTCAGTAGTATATCTAGTTCTGTTGAATAGTTAGGGGTTAGAACATATTTGATTAACATTTGCCTCTTTAAGGCAGTAGGTTGTGTACCTGTTTCATCTCTTGTTATTCAAGTATTTGCTATGTACTGCAGGTTTGATTTTGATTTGAACGATTGAGGTGTTTTAGAGTTGCAAAACCCTCTTTGTTTTGTGTTTTGCATGTTTTTTAACCCGTGTTTGGTATGGTGGACCTTGGCACCTAGCATTGTGTATATTAGAGTGACTTGGATCGATGTTTGGAGGATTTGCAACTTTGTTACTCGGTACCGCTTGTGTATAGTTCTAGCCAGGGTTCCAGACAAGAAGCATAGTAGATCACATTGCAAATGCATCACTACTGGTTTGGAATTTGACATTTAGGAGGGATCTTTGGTAGTTTGGATGTCTAAGACTTCGACAAAAATTTGTTAGCTAACTGCTGTCACTAGTTGTTATCATTTCGGACTGGCATCCGTAAGGTTTTTGCAATTAGCAAACTAGAGTACAAAACAGTTGATGAGATGATTAAACTTGTTCGTTTTACAATGATAACACTAGATGAGAAAATATTCGTTGTTGTGGGCTGGTGTTCTTGTTTTGTGATTAGCGTGGCCTTTCATGCAGGTTAATGTTGTGCCTATGTTGATAAATGGCTTTTGGAGAACCGCTGGGCTATTGGTTGGACTTTGTCTAACAAGGCATTAATTGCTGTCTAACGAGGCTATTTTAATATCTCAATCACCTACCAGTGGGGACAATTGATGAGTTTGTGTCATGCCATGTAAATTTGTGATTGAGAAATGTGAGAGAATGGGTGAAACTCTTTTTGCTTTCATGTTCTTCGCAGTCTATTAATGTTTGGGATTAATTGGCTCATTTGGCGTTCTGGGTTACATAGGATTTACTGTATGTGCAACATGCATTCTTACGTCTTACTAACTGTGCTGTACTTAAAGCATCTCCATAGTTGTTGATGTATCATTTGAGTCAATTTAAATTTCTGCCTCGAGGTGTTTTGAAATTCTTATTGACTTGTGCTTTTATTTATTTATTTTGTCATTTGAAGTTGGTTGCTGTGGAGCTGATGTGTGTTTCTAATGTAATTATGTTTCATTCGATTCAGAATCCTCACATGCCCTTATGTGGCCCAGTTTTCACTGTTGGTCAAAACCCTGAAAGCAACTTATGGCTTAATGATTCAACTGTCAGTTCTGTTTTGTGCAGACTGAAACAAATAGAGGTATGTTCTCTCTGCTATTTGCCTGTCAAACGTCGAGTTCGCCTTGCATATCATTTGCTTGATGAGGATACCTCACTGTGAGATGGTACTCTCTAGTCTTTTTGTATTAAGTAATTTCTTTTATCTTACCTCACTATGAGATGCTTCTCTAGTCTTTTTGTATCAAGTGATTTCTTTTATCATACCTCACTATGAGATGCTACTCTGGTCTTTTCGTATCAAGTAATTTCTTTTGTCTTGTCTCATTTTTCAAACTTTGATCGTCTCTCTCATTGATTTATTATTGTTTCTGTTTCTAGTCTGGAGGTGTTTTTACTGCCATGATGGAAGTTGTTGGAGGTAAAGGAACAGTCCAGGTTAATGGTAAGGTGCAGCGCAAAGGTTCCCGTGCAATGTTAAGTGCAGGAGATGAGGTGGTTTTCAACTCTTCTGGGGAACATGCTTATGTATCCTTTGTCTGCTGTTGGCTTCTGTGAACTTGATTAGTTTTTGTGTTTAGTTCGTCATTATGTTTTTCACTCATATCCCAGAACGGCAATTCCTTACTATTGAGAAACTGTTCGTAATACTCGCTGTTTCTTTAACAAATGAGAGCAGATCTTTCAGCAGTTCCCCCATAACAATTTGGGAGGTCGAGGTGTAGCTTCTATGAGCATTTTAGAAGCCCAGGGTGCTGGAGCCAAAGGGATCCCTCTTGAGGCAAGATCTGGAGATTCCTCAGCCTTTGCAGGCGCATCAATATTGGCATCTTTGTCGAATGTTCACAAAGATTTATTTCTCCCTCATGCTTCAAAAGCTGGCGAGGATACTCAAAATAAACCTGATCCTTCTATCCTATCTCCCATTGGTATAACACCTGGTGATCATATTCCAGAAGTTGACATGAAGGATAGCACAAACAATAGCGAGCAACCATTCGTTCCACCAAGGGAGGACATTTTCGTTCCATCTGAAAATTGTGCCAGTGAAAACCCAAATCTCGAAGCTCTTCCAATGGACTGTTGTGCAGATGGAGAGACTGGGAAGACACCTTTTCCTATTTCCGAATTAAGGCCTCTTTTGCAGATGCTTGCTGGTTCCTCTTCTCAACGAGAAATTGCAAAGATATTTGAAGGACGGAAGGAGTTACTCAGGGATCTTGATCGTTCTGCGATTCTGCTTTCTACTGCTCGGCAAGCATTCAAAGACAATCTACAAAAAGGAATCTTGAGCCCTGAAAGCATCGAAGTTTCTTTTGAAAATTTCCCTTATTACCTTAGGTTTGCAATTTCCCATGTTAGTTAAAGTTGCATCATTGTCTAGCTTTGTTGTGGAATTTTCCCCACTAGACTATGCAAAATAACTGACATTAGTTTTGTTTCAGTGATACAACAAAGAAAGTTCTTGTGGGGGCTGCATTTGTTCACTTGAAGTGTAACTGCAAAGTAGCTAAATTTGCTTCTGAACTACCTACGGTATCACCTCGAATATTGTTGTCTGGTCCTGCAGGTACTGTTTATATATTTCTTGATTAATGTTTAAATTTGGTGATGATTCATATCCATCTATTTCTTATTTAGCTTTATGAATGCCTTTTAGGTCTATCTTCTATTTCTTTTTGATAGGATCAGAGATATATCAGGAGAGACTTGTAAAGGCACTTGCCAAAGATGTTGGAGCTAGACTGTTGGTTGTTGATTCCCTACTATTGCCTGGTGTAAGTGAGCTGTCTACCTGAATACTATCATACTTCTTGTTTATTATTTTACTGGTTTTTTTTAGATTCATGCCCAGGGTTCAGTTCCTGTTTCCTTAAAATCTCCCACTCCTAGAGAATTCCCCCTTCTGTGGTTCTGCCCCAAGTTTTGGACATACAAGTGTAACCTTCTTAATCTATTTTGCTTTCACTTTATTGTGCAATACTTGCAGGGATCAACACCCAAAGAAGCTGATCCCATGAAAGAAATTTTGAGACCTGACAGAGCGTTATTTGCCAAAAGAGTTATGCAATCAGCACTACACCATAAGAAGCCTGCTTCTAGTGTGGAGGCTGACATAACTGGTGGATCCATAATAAGCTCTCAAGCTCTTCCGAAGCAGGAAACTTCTACAGCCTCATCCAAGCACTGCACGTTTAAAACAGGTATGTTAGCTTTCCTTTTTGGCACTAGAGCACTTGACATGCTTTATTGCTTTCTTGGTTCTTCACATGATCTATTCAAATCAGTTGCTAAGTTTCTTATATGTGCACCAGGTGATAGAGTGAAGTATTTTGGTATCTCTTCACAATCGGCACTGTCTCCTCTTCAACCTCCACTAAGGTACTATTGCCATATAGGTTGTTGTACTGTCATGTTGTTGGTGCCAAACTGTCTTTGATTTTCGAGGTGACAAAAGCATCCCGATAATGGATGTCTTGATGCATTAGCTTCGGTGGTTCGATGCCAAAATTTTGCAATGCTCTCGTAGTTGATCTTTTCTTTTGGTTTCTTGGCAGGGGACCTGCTGTTGGGTTTCGTGGCAAGGTACTTCTTGCTTTTGAAGAAAATGGATCCTCAAAAATTGGTGTGAGATTTGATAGATCCATTCAAGAAGGCAATGATCTTGGTGGCCTCTGTGAAGAAGATCGCGGGTTCTTTTGTGCTGGTACTTTGTTCTAGCCATGGCTCATATTCAGGAAGTTTGCTATTGTCCTTTGTTGAGTATCTTGTAAGGCAATGTTTCTGATTATTTCTTTTATCTTTAGCCCATTCACTTCGTTTAGATAGCTCTGGAGGCGAAGAGCTTGACAGGCTTGCTGTCAATGAACTCTTTGAGGTACGTTGTGTCTTTTTCATTACTTATCTGCTGCTGGCTTCCTGCATCCCATCTGATCTAGGAATTGTGGTCTAGGTTGCTTTGACCGGAAGTAAAGGTGGTCCATTAATAGTGTTTCTAAAAGACATAGAGAAGTCTGTGGCGGGCAACCAAGATGCATATACTGCCTTAAAAAGTAAGCTGGAAAATTTACCAGACAGGGTTATTGTGATTGGTTCCCATGCCCATATGGACAGTCGAAAAGAGAAGGTACACACTTCAAGTGTAGCAGTTTCTGCCTTGTGTGTGTGTCTGTTTTCTTTTTTACGATTTCTTAATTTCTCTCCGTTCATTATGATGACTTGTCTGGTTTGTGCTGACTACTTAATTTGTTGCAGTCTCAGCCTGGTGGGCTTCTGTTTACCAAGTTTGGAAGCAATCACACAGCTTTGCTTGATTTTGCATTTCCTGTAAGCCACCACTAATCTTGTAGAGCTTATAATTCCTCTTATTAATTCAAAATACTTGGTTTCCATTGGAGATTTTTTTCCACCTGCTTTGTTAGTGCTGGACATTTGGGTGCATTAGTTTCAATTGCATGTAAGGACGCTTGTGATCTGCTGAGTATTCATCATTGAGGATTATACTCATTCCCTCTGCTCTAAATGTTTAATGTTTTTGTTGCAGCGTGATTTGAAGCTCAGAGACATTTATAGTTTGTTCTAGTTTAATTGTTGTTTAGATACACATGACAATTTAGTTTTGCTTAATATGCCTATATACTTATGGCTCTGCTGGTCATTCTTGATGCCTGTATCAAGGGTATCCAGTGCAAAAGTTCATTATTGGCAAAAGAGTGTTGTTAAGTTGTGCTTTCACTTAATCTAATTGCACATGACAGGTGGTTAATTTGTTTCGATTAAACCTGGCATTGTCTCGATTACGTTCCATCTTATGGGCATACTTCAAGTGATATATAACATTTGGGCTAATTATATTGGTATTACTATGATGGGTTGCTATTTGATGGTTTAGTTATATATATATTTTTTGTTGGGTGATGATTGATGCTACTATTCTTTTATTCAGGATAACTTAGGTAGACTGCACGACAAAAGCAAGGAGACTCCTAAAACAATGAAGCAACTCTCAAGGCTTTTTCCCAACAAAGTGACCATTCAGCTACCTCAGGTTCAGATCCTACATTGTTTTGATATGGAAGGATGTAGAATTGGATGAATGTCTGACATTTTAGAGATTTTTTCAGGAAGAAGCATTGCTCTTGGACTGGAAGCAGCAGTTGGATCGTGATATTGAAACTTTGAAAGCGCAGGCTAATATTATTACAATCCGTTCTGTAAGCATCCCTAGTTGTGGCTGTCATCTCCGGTAATTTCTTTTTGGACACTATTTTCCTGCATGCTGAATATGACTATGAATCAATTTATAGCATCCAATTTATGAAGTGATAGATAATGTAACAATGGTACAACATGAAATGTCCGAAGAGAAATTTGCCTGTTAACCAGCTCTGTTCAGGTGTTTAAGTACTCTACTTCTGTATCTTGATATTTACTGTAAAGTACCATATTATATATTAACACTGGGTTTGCATTTCTTGAATTGTCAACTGTCTAGGTTCTTGCTCGAGTTGGCCTGCAATGCCCTGATCTGGAGTCTCTGTGCATCAATGATCAGGCGTTGACAACTGAAAGTCAGTTTTTCATAACTTTTGTCATTATCCAGCCTCCTTGAGATTGAAACATGCATTCTTGACTGGTGTTTTTCTCTCCAAATAATAGGCGTAGAGAAAGTCGTGGGTTGGGCATTAAGCCACCACTTCATGCATTGTTCAGAAGCTTCTCTGACAGATGCAAAGTTAGCAATATCAACAGAAAGGTTCTGTTCTCACATTGTCTTTCTTGCTTTTAAGTTAATAATATCTTTTTCTAGTAAATTATTTTTAATGTTTGCTTTGGTTGCACACTTTGCAGTATCAACTATGGATTGAGCATTCTTCATGGTATACAGAATGAGAACAAGAGCTTGAAGAAATCCCTCAAGGTAAAGTTGATGGAATGGAATGCACTGTACTATTTGATGGCAATTTGTGGCACTTAACTAATAATTCGAAACATTTTACAGGATGTTGTGACTGAAAATGAATTTGAGAAGAAGCTTCTAGCTGATGTTATTCCTCCAAATGATATTGGAGTTTCGTTTAATGACATTGGTGCCATGGAAAATGTCAAGGAAACATTGAAGGAACTTGTAATGCTTCCTCTTCAGAGGCCTGAACTGTTCTGCACAGGGCAGCTGACTAAGGTTAGTTTAATGTGATGTTTAGTCATTAATTCTGTGTTTGATATGAAGTGTCGTGGTACTAAGAATCTGGTAATGATGCAGCCTTGCAAGGGGATATTGCTGTTTGGTCCTCCTGGTACCGGGAAAACAATGCTTGCAAAGGCTGTAGCAACTGAGGCTGGTGCAAATTTCGTAAACATATCCATGTCAAGCATCACTTCGAAGGTAAGTGTGTTGATGATGTGGTTGTAGGGAATTGATTTGGTAGTAAGATTATTTTGACTGATGCACCAACTGCAGTGGTTTGGTGAAGGAGAGAAGTATGTGAAGGCCGTGTTCTCTTTAGCTAGTAAAATTGCTCCAAGTGTAATTTTTGTTGACGAGGTAGGTTCATCCTTTTTATTCACCCCATCAGGAAAAATCATTCTGATTTTTAGCCCGAAGGCTTTGATATTTGGATTTTGTGGTTTTTTACTTTTAGTCTCTGCTCATTTTAGGTGGATAGCATGTTGGGAAGACGTGAGAATCCTGGGGAACATGAAGCTATGCGGAAAATGAAGAATGAGTTCATGGTGAACTGGGATGGTTTGCGTACAAAAGATAAAGAAAGGGTGTTAGTTCTTGCTGCCACTAACAGGCCGTTTGATCTTGATGAAGCTGTTATTAGGAGGCTCCCACGAAGGTGTGTGTGTGTCTGTTTTTAATCTCGGCTCCTGTTGTGGCTTTGGGATTGCCCTTTTCATGCTATTTTCTGTAATTACTTTTGTTATGAAATGAAGTTAAGAAGGACCAGATGATTAACATAGTTGCACAAATGTTGCAAATCTAGGTTGATGGTTAACTTGCCTGATGCACCAAATCGAGAAAAGATTCTCAGGGTCATCTTGGCCAAAGAAGAACTGGGAGGCGATGTAGATATGGAAGCAGTTGCGAGTATTACTGATGGTTACTCTGGAAGTGATTTAAAGGTAAAATAATTGTCTTTTTTCAGTGTGTCAAGTGAGGCTTCCTGGCTGATGTCCTTTTGGTTTTACAAGCTTTGTTTTCCATCTCCTGGTTTCAGAACCTGTGTGTAACTGCAGCTCATTGTCCCATAAGAGAAATATTGGAGAAGGAGAAGAAGGTGAGTGGTGATCTTTCCTCTTCCCCACGTCTCTTTGGTTTAATAACGGATTGTTTTGCTGTAGTTGGTCGTAATTAGTGGCCTAATGTTGTGTTGTGATGGAATTGGGTGGTACAGGAGAGGAATGTGGCGCTGTCTGATAAAAGACCTACACCTTCACTGTATGGTAGTTCTGATGTGCGTCAGCTTAAAATGGAGGATTTCAGATATGCGCATGAGCAGGTAGCTCACCCTTTTTCCTCTTGCTAATGAGGTCATAAGTGTCAGGCTTGCATTTTCTTCTCTTTTTTTTTTTTTGTTTGTACATTATTTGCTTTGGTTCAAAGTTCGAAATTATCGATCAAGTTTCCCCTAGATATTTAGTTTGAGCATTTGATGATGTAGGTATGTGCAAGTGTGTCGTCTGAATCCAGTAATATGAACGAGCTCCTGCAATGGAATGATCTGTATGGAGAAGGTGGATCCAGAAAGAAGAAATTGCTAAGCTATTTTATGTAGAAAGGGAAATTTGTACTTGTGTATAGGAAAATCCCTTCTCGTTTTTACCTTTTGCGCTTTTCTTGAATGCCTAGTATTCTCTTATGTTTTTTCTTTTCATTATTACCCTCCGTTTATGTTATAATTTCTGTTTGGCATTCATGGTAGAGAACCACAGCACAGCAGGTTGGGAACAATGCAAAAAGGGAAAGGTTAAACCGCGAGCAGTAGGGATGACAGTAGGGATGACAGTGGGAGCAGATTCGGTGAGTAACCTTGTGGTGAGTAATCATGAGTAATCTGTTCACATCAGCATGATATCAGCATCCTCTTTCCTGGAAAGTTTTTAATTTTCTCCTCTTTAATTTTCTCCTCTTTAATCTTTGACGGACGATTTCTCACTCATTTTAAGTAGAAATTTAATTTTTTTTTGCACAACTAGATCAGATTAATTGTGCTCTTCAAAATGATATCCAGTTTAATATATTTTTCGAAAAAAAAATTTAGCCATTTTTTAACAGTCTATACCATATGGTATTGACTGGTATTGAAATAAAAGCATACCTATGGTTTGAAAAAAGTACCATGGTGGTATGAACAAACCAAGACTGTAGGATGGTTGAATACATGATAGTAGAAATATATTAATTGTCATTAACGACTTTTAACATCGTATACCACAAGATACCACCCCGTACCAGGGTGGTATTGTGTGGTATTTTTTGGTCCTGTAATTTGTTCACCCATAAATTTGTAGATCCAATAGATCATGATGAACTCGTCTCTTCTGTGTAAATGTTTTCAAAAACGAATTAAAAACGAAGAAGATACCATACAATACCACCCCGTATCAGGGTGGTATTATATGATCTTGTGTGGTATTTTTTGGTCCTGTAATTTGTTCACCCAGAAATTTTTAGATCTAATAGATCATGATGAACTCGTCCCTTCTGTGCAAACGTTTTCAAAAACGAATTAAAAATGAAGAAAATACCATATGGTATGCAGTTGGTACCGAGAGGTTAGAATTTTTTGTTTTAAAAAAATATTGAAAATTGATCTCATTTTGTAGAGCACGATGAACTCGTTCCACCTGTGCAAAAAAAATTAAAATCCGAGTTAAAACGAAAAAGATATGAGCCGATTAAGAAAGCTAGAGAAAATAAAAATGATCTTTAATTCTCCATCCTTAGATCTGGATTTTCTAAATGAAGGGTCCAGATTTGGTTATTGATGGATGCATAAACCATGGTTATGCACCCTATCTTGAGCCGATGACAATTACCCAAACCAAGTAAACTCGTTGGGCATGGTTTTACTAAATTAAGTAAATTCATTAATTATGGGTAGGGTATGAGTGATTTATATGGATTTAGAGTTTTCTAGATGAGTTTAAGTAGGGTATTGGTATTGCTTTCATAATCTAAATGTGTATGGAGGTCCATTTATTTTAGGTTTTAACTACATTCCAAAATTTAACTTATTAGTAAAAAGTTTCCAAAATTTAACTTATTAGTAAAAATGAAAATTTTTAAACATCTAAGTGTAAGGAATGAATTCTTAGGTACTATTCCACCATCCCATGCTCATGCAAGAATGATTTCATTGTCACTTTGTCCATCTCCTTCAATCGGGTCACTTCATACGGACTAAGGGGGTCCTTAGTTACTTGACTAAGCCCCTCCTAGCCTTTTTATCTGGACACACAAATCTGACGAATAAAAACTGGGAAGGGTTGTTTAATTTATAAAAGGGGTAATTTGGGTATTATGGAAAATTACGAAGTATACAAACAAGACTTACAAACAGTACAGACCATAATAACATACGAACAATACAAACTAGCGCGACAAAACATACAAACAAATTTACAAACAATACGAAACATACACACTATACAAATAATACGAACTAGACCAACAAACATTACAAAACATACTAACAGAGTATTACAAATCAATAAACACAAAGCATACAAATTATAACATAAAAGTATACAAACTAGACAAACAAACATTACAAAATTATAATATATATAAAATAATCATATAAACATTGCAAACTAGCATGATAAAAGATACAAACCGAATCAATACAAACATTACAAAATAGTTCGACAAATATCCCAAAACTAACACTGTCACCGGAAAATCCCATTGTCCGAAAATCACCACGGCGACACCATAAATCTCTCTCTCTCTCTCTCTCTCTCTCTCTCTCGTTGCACTTGGGGGAAAATTCCAGCACAAAAGGGACTCACCTGGGGAAAAAATTCCCAGAACAACAGTGACCGCCGACGAGAATTATTCCCAGGCACCGGCAATGGAACTCCCTCTCTGGCTGGCGGTGGGAAAGTTTCCTGCCCGGCGTGGAAAAGAAGAGACGAGACGGAGAGCGGGGAGGGAAGAGCAGGCCAGAAAAAATCATTTAACAATTGAAAATAAAAATAATCATTTAACAATTATAAATAAATAAAGTTTGCCTCAATTTGTGCCATAGCTCGTCTCCAAAGCTCAGGGGGGCAAAGGTCTTGGTGAATTGGATCGTGAATGGGCAAAGTATTTTTGTTCAGATTCTTTTCTTTTTAAGCTGACCAAGATATGCTTTCATTATATGGGCAATACCGATCTAATTTAGTGGATCGGATGTAGCAAAAGCTTCGGTTGGAGCTCGGTAACTAAGGATGTTGAAACTGTATTCGGGGGGGGGGGGGGGGGGGGGGGGGGGGGGGGGCGTAGCGTAACATTAGGGGTTGGAGCTCGGTAACTAAGGAGGTTGGTTGACCAATTCGAACTCCAAGTTATTATCTGAAGCACTCAAAATAATACTACAAAAAAAAAATAATAATAATGCAAGGCTGGAACTAGCTTCTATTTTGGATGGCGTTTCTCTATGGATCTTGTTCTTATAAACTTCCTAAAGAGCATGCTGAAGTTGACCATTTGTCCCGGCTAATGGAACTTAAAAAATAAATTAGATACTTAATCTTTTATATGATAAAGTTTAGGTGTCAAACTATAATTTATATATGGGTATGGATATAAATTCAAATTTATAGACAAAAAACCAAAGCTAACCCAAATGAATGTGTATGGTACATACCTATCAAACTCTGTCCATTTACCTTTGCATTTCATATCCAACTTAATTGGAATGGGTAAGTAATGTATTTATGTAAAATTGCCATGAGGGGCCATAGATTCCAGTGCCACCGTCTTGAAACAGGCAAGAGGCCAAGCAGTTTGTACATAGAATGTTTGATTTTCTGAATTCTAGTTGGGTGCCAAGGCTGCACCCGCGAGCCCCCATTAGTATCCATCAAGCAATACTAGAGGGCAGTGACGCAAAGGTGGCTAAATTGATGGTACAAGGGGGTGGCCGTTGGTGTGATGACCGGCTCACTCTGATGTTCCTTCCAGATATTATTTGTGCCATAAGGGCGATTACCTTACCTCAGATGAAAATTGAAGACGCCCTGATATGGCATGATACGCGTGATGTTCATAGTCAAATCTGCCCACCATTTGGCAGTTCTGGCTGATCGACAAAGAGTTTTTGGCGTCAATTTGCCACCTAGATGGATAGAACCAGTTGCATTCGAGTATGAGAACTACATATTCCTCCCAAACTAAAAGTTTTCTCTGGCAAATTTTCCTCCACATTCTCCTTACTATGGAGGCTCTGATTGAGAAGAAGGTTCAAGTACTACCTAGACGTCATGTTTGTTGGGCACATTTCGAGACAATGGAGCACCTCTGTCGAGAGTGGCCAATTGCGAGGGCCATTTGGGATAATTCCGGCTTAGAGAATCTTGGCCAAGGTCTTCCTCGCCAAACATTCCTTTGCTTTTAAAGAAATTGTTGGCCCTCCTCCATCAATCCCATCAAAGCATGGTCGTTGTAGTAGTGCTCTGGAATCTGGGAGTTGACCACACACACACACACACACACACGCACGCAGATTCCAGAGCACTACTACAACGACTATGCTTTGATGGGATTGATGGAGGAGGGCCAACAATTTCTTTGAGCGATCTACCTGGATGAGGAGATTACTTGGTGCTGGTGGTGGTGGTGGCTGGACTGAGCGCTGGAGCGCTGGACGCCGGCGGCGGCCGGGTGCTCGAGCAGGTGACTGCTCTGCTGGTGGTGGGACCTTAGGGTCAGGCTCCACTAGAGCCGGGGCAGCTGCTGCTCTAATGACTCCGGATGGTTGGAGTCCCTCGAGGTACTCCACTCCTCGCTCTTCCTGGAGTACCAACTTTTGGTTGTACAGTGTCTCCACTAGGAAAGGAGTCGTCCTCCCGACGCTGGTGCACCGAGCCAAATCCACCTGGAAGTGCTGGGCCATCCTCGTGATGAGGCCCCCATATGTATGGTGTCCACTCTGTTCCGCCCCAGGCACCGGGCGAAAGAAGTGGTGATCAACGATCCCGGATGGTGCACCGCAAATTTTTTTCAAATTTTATCAAACTATCTATGGAAAGAGTGCCTTGGTCACTTATTATAGCTCAATGGCTCCTAATCGCGAGAAGAGTTTGTGAAGGGACTTTCCCACAAGTCTCACATTGTTTGTAGGGAGAGCTTTTGCTTCTACTCATTTGGAGACATAATCAATAGCCACAAAAATGTATTTGTGGCCAAAGGAAGATGGGAAAGGGCGCATGAAATCAATGCCCCAAACATAAAAATTTTGACTGGTGGGATCTTTAATTGCTGGATTTCATCCTCCAGGTGGAGTTTCCAAGACGTTGCCAGGCGTCACAAGACTTAGCCATTATGTCGCAGTCATGATAGATTGTTGACATGTAAAAGCAACATTGGAGTACTTAGTATGATTTTCGGGGACCACTATGATGCCCTCATGGCAGTGGTCGATAATGTCCTTGCCCTTAGTCAACGAAACACATATCCGTATCATGTTATCAGGGCCGATCCTAAAAAGGTATGGATCGTCCCATAAGTAGAATTTGGATTCATTGAGAAGTGTTTCCTCTCCTTGTATGAGAGATTGAGAGGCATGGTTCCCGTGGCTTAGTAGTTGTCCATGTCAATGACCAGGGGACTTCTTCATCCTCGATTTCGTCCAGAAAGAGTGGCTCATCTAGGAATGTGTCCTTTATTTTCACATCATCCAGAGGATCAAAGTGCATATATTTCCCATCATTAGTGTCATAATACCTTATATTTGTGCTATGAGTGCTTTAAGTGTGTTCTAGAAACCCTAGGATTGTTTTTACACAATTGATATGCTTTGTACCATTTTGCGAATATGACTCTTGGAGAAAAACCATAGCCTCCTTCTCCTTATCTTCCTTGTTTAAAAGACGAGCTGAAAGGAAGAGAGCGGGGAGAGACCATTTGAGTGAGAAAGGCTTCTTCAGATTTTGGAGAGAGAAAGACGAACCAAAGGAGAAGGAGGCTAGGGTTTTGCTCCATGAGTGGATTTTGGAAGATTCTCCCCAAGAGAAGTTCAGCACAAGTGCCAAGAAGATTGGAAGCCTCCTTCGTGATGGTTTCTACCTCTTCCCCTTGTGTTTCTCCCATTTCTAGCATGAAGTAGATTTCTTTATCACTTGGGTGTTGTGAAACCCTAGCTAGCTACCATGTAGTTTTCTGTTATGTGAATTGAATGATTGTTTATGGGTGTTGTTTAATTTAATGATTGAGGTATTATTCATGTAAATTGAATGTTTGTGCTTAGCAATCTAAGGGTTGTGCCTGTTTGTGCTTAGCACCACTACCACAAGCAGCATCAGCAGCACCATCAGGTGCCAGCCCTTCCACTTCTAGGGTGCACCTCGTGGAGAGGATGGACCGTCTTGAGACTCACGTTGTGAGAGTCACTTCTCGGCTTGACAGACACACCGACCTGCTTGAGCGGATAGCTCGTCGTCAGCGCCCCCTTCTAGATGATGAGTCGGGGCCTTCGACTCAGTGAGAGGTAGCCGACGAGTGAGACATGTGACAAAGCCGATTCATTTCGCCCCACATCTCCACTTGGAACTTTGAACTCTTTTGTTTTATTCTTCTTTCTTCTATTTAGTATGTGTGAACAACTACTACTATCGTGTTAGTTTGTGTAATAACCTCGCCTCGAGCAAGTATATGTTGTGTTTGTGTGTGTTTTTGTCTTATCCTTGAAGCTAAACTTTCCTACCCTAGAAAAATTCCAACTTTCACTCACCAAGCCAAGCGGTAACATCTTTTTACCCCGATCTTACGCCATTGAGGGCAATGTCGAACTTAAGTGCGGCGCGGGGGGGGGGGGGGGGGGGGGGGGTAGTTAATTATTATGCTTGTGTGAGTGTGATTGATGCTTGGAGCCTTGATGAATGCCCAAATTTGAAAAATTTGAGGGCTCCAAGCAATGTTTGCATGATCAAAGTAGCCGGTTTGTAGGAGAATCTCGTGTTTATTGGTATTGACCTTGAATCATTGCATGTGATTGAGTGTGTCCTATGATGATGACTGGGAGGTGCATTAGGATAGTGCAAAAGTTTAGTTCTCATGTGCGCAAAAATGAATGGATGTCTTGACTTGATTACTTGTTTATTACAATTGCCATGCATTGTGTTTTATGAATTTGGAATGGATGATTGGGTGACTAGGTAGCCATGTGAGTTTTGAGCCGATCGTTTTCTTCTTGTGTGCTTAGATCCCTCTTACCATGGCAAGTAACATCACATTTGTCACTAGTCAGTATGATGGAGGCATAGGATTAGTCCACACACAAATGTTGATTTTCCCGAAATGTTTTAACCCCTAGTCAACCCCTTTGAGCCTTGTGACTTTGGGGGTCGTTCTCCCGTATGATCTTTTTGCTTGTGAGCTTAATGGTGTTTGATAGAACGGCCCCCCATCCTTTCTTCGTGTCTATACGTGAGTCGTCCTTGTGTTCCGAAGCTCTCACTTTTGAGTTATGTTGATGTGACTTGAATCGGACTATCAGCCGCTACGACTGGATTAGTCGGTGTATGGGCTCAATGTTATTTGGGTTCGGGTTCGGGTTCTAGGCCTGGTCTGTAACTGTTTTCTTTGCCAGATTGGATTAGGTTTAGACCCACATGGAGAAGTACTATAACAAGTGGTATCAGAGTCGCGGCTGGAAATCAGGCTAGGGTTTTCGATTCAAAAGAATGACGTCGGTGAACATGAAGATCGAAAAGTTCACGGGGAAGAACAGCTTCGCTATATGGCAGATCAAGATGCATGCTTTATTAAAATAGCAAGGGCTGCAGGGGCCGCTGTTTGCGAAATAGAAGAAGGCAACAATCAATGACGATGAGTGGAATACACTGGAGGAGAAGGCCCACTCGACCATCATGCTATCATTGTCTGTTGACGTCATCATTGAAGTCGCTGCTGAGAAGACTATCGCGAGCTTGTGGTTAATGTTGGAGAGTCTGTATATAACAAAGTCCTTAACCAATAAGCTGCATCTCAAGCAACGGTTGTTCAGCTTGAGGATGCAAGAAGGTACGCCTTTAAGGGAACATCTGAACAACTTAGCTCTATTTTGCTGGATTTGCGTAATATAGATGTTCAAGTTGATGACGAGGATGCTGGCCTAATCCTGCTGGTTTATTTGTCGAGTTCATATGATAATTTCGTTGATTCTTTTATTGCCGATAAAGAAAGCGTGTTGTTGGAGGATGTCAGGTCTACTCTTCATATGAGATAGATCAGGCATAAGGCGTCCGGATCTGGTACAGGTGGTGAGGCATCGGGTTTGGCTATTACAGGTGGAAAAGGAAAGAAGAAATCTGGTAAAGGGAATTCGAACAAGAATTTCAAGGGTCCAGGTCCGCAGCCATGTGATGCTTGTCACAACTGTAAAGAAGTGGGGCATTGGAAGTACAACTGTCCCAGGAGAAGAGGGCAACAGAAGAAACAAGGTTCAGTTGCCCTGGCAGAAGTGGACAACAGTTCTGAAGACGATCTCACCTTGGTTGTAGATGAGAATGCACATTGTGGGGATGTGTGGTTTCTGGATACTGCAGCCTCATACCATATATCTCCGAACAGGGATTGCTTCACAACCTACAAGCAGATAAATGGTGGTAACGTGGTCATGGCAAATGGATTTGTTTGCAAGGTTGTTGTAATCGGGTCCATAAAGGTTCGGGCACATGATGGTTCATTATGTACCGTGAATGATGTCAGGCATGTCCCACGAATGACAAAGACGTGATCTCCTTGAGTCTACTCGACAACAAGGGTTTTAGCTTCAAAGGAAAAGGTGGAGTTGTGTATGTCTGCAAAGGTTTAAGGAAGGTGTTGAAGGGCGTGAAGCGTGGGATCTTGTATGCATTACAAGGGTCTGTGTTATCTGGTTCTGCTGCAGTTGCATCATCTCAGGTTCATTAGGAAGATATGACCACTCTTTGGCACATGAGACTGGGGCATATGAGTGAACGAGGGATACAAGTTCTATCAAAGAGGGATCTTCTTTGCGGGCACAAGGTTCAAGATTTAGAATTCTCTGAGCATTGTGTGTTTGGGAAGCTACATCGCAGCAAGTTTCCCAAGAAGGGTATCCACCGGACGAAGGGGATACTAGATTCACTCCACTCTGATTGTTGGGGTCCTTCACGAGTTGAATCCATTGGAGGCAGCATGTATTTTCTTTCTATTATTGATGATTATTCAAGATTTACTTGGATTTTCATGATGAAGCCGAAAAGTGAGGCTTTAGTTCAAGCAGTGGAAGACATTAGTGGAGAATCAGACTAGAAAGAAGATTTAGAAGCTACGAACGGACAATGGTATGGAGTTCTGTAATTCTGAGTTCAACGAATTCTGCAAGGATGAAGGGATTGCCCATCATCGGACCGTGAGAGATAGACCCCAGCATAAGGGCGTTGCCAAAAAGGATGAATCAGACATTGTTGGAGAGAGCATAGTGCAAGCTCTCTAATGCTGGACTGGAGAGAAGATTCTGGGTAGAAGCAGTAAACATGGCGTGCTTCCTGATCAACCGTGGACCTCACACAGGTATCGATTTTAAGACTCCTTATGAAGTGTGGTATGGTAAGCCTGCTAATTACTCTTCACTGAAAGTTTTTGGGTGTCCTGTTTATTATCATGTGGATGAGGGTAAACTAAACCCAACGGCAAAGAAGGGTGTATTTGTGGGTTACGGAGATGGAGTTAAGGGGTTTCGAGTCTGGTCACCTTCTAAGCATCGAGTTATACTCAGTAGAAAATTGATATTTGATGAGAAGTCTATCTTTAACCCCATGTTGAAGGTTACTGTTGTTGAAGGTAGCATGAATGTTGATAAGTAGGTGGAGCTGCAAACTCTCAATGAGAGTGAGTTTGAGCACCAAGGTGGAGAAGATCAACATGATGATGTTTATACAGAGCCATAAACTTCAAAGTCCAGTGCAGGAGCTTAGACTTGCCAGCTAATTCATAGCATTCTTTAGATCGGGCCCCCTTTTCTGATTTCAACAGTTGGCGCTCCTACATTATGCAGTTTAATTGCATTAAGAGCTCAACCGATGGAGAAGAGCGACTACCTAGTCAGATAATGCTCGCCACCAGTCAAACATTGTCTTTTTGAGGAAGGAAACGTTCCTTTCATTTTTTTAGGTTCTTGCCAGCTTCGACATATAAGGTTAATGCCTCAGTGCTAGTGCATGGTGACAATCCACCTTTTGCCTCTCATTCAATATGGAGGGTCATGCTCTCATTGAACCTCAAATAAAAGCATTGGGCTTGTTGTTCTGGACTGAACCCATGATGCAGGCATGACCGTAGTTATGCTTAAAAACAAGTCCACATGTCGTATAAGTCTTCGTTCTCTTCATGTTGGAAATTGATGATCTTACGTTGGATCTCGTTAGCCCTCCACTCAGGATAGGATTCCTTAATGAAGGATTGTGATAGGGATTAGTGGAGGTATTACTTGGCCATTTCCTCAACCATTCTCTTGCCTTCCTATCTAGGGAGTAAGCAAAGAGCTGGATCGTACTACTATTCACGTTGATGTTACCCTTGGTTACTATATGTTGACTTATACTCGTGCGAATGTCAGGCGCCCTTGGCTGAAAGTAGTCGCCCATGGTCCGGATCATTTCTCCCATTATGCTGGGATCAACTTAGCTGTTATGGACAATGGACAGGGAGAAGCCCTTGAAGCAGAGAACCTCCCAATTTCGTGCCCTATTCGCCAAAATTTGGGGGGAAAATGGGCACTTGGGGTGCCAATTTTTGAGTCTATGTGTTTGTTCCATAAGCCCCAGCCATAGAATGAAACTTTCAAATAAAAGTAAGAGATGGAAATTGAAAAGAAATCGGGAATAGAACCTAATGTCGTTCCTTTTCCGAAGCTTTCGAGATGTCCCTGGCACCGACGCCAAAATTTGATCATCGATTGTATTACTTACAAACAAAAGAAGAGACCTATTGTGAGAAACTTCTTCTTCTTCATCAGATTTCTAGAATGAGAAAATGACAAACAAAAGAAGAGAAGAAGCTAGGATTTCATCTTCAAGCAAGGATTTGGGATTGGTATTCAAGTACCAACCACAAGATTTCGGATTGTTAAATGATGAAGGAATCAAGCACCGCCGAGGAGCAAGTGAGTTTCACTGCCAATGCTAGGGGAAACAACCCCTATAGCAACACTTACAACCCGGGGTGGCGAAATCATCCGAATTTCTCTTGGTCTTCTTCTACCAATCCAAGTCCCCCAGTTTCCAAGGACCAACAGGAAATTATCAACCAAGGCCTACTTTCATTCAACAAAGGCTACAATTCCAAGGCTCTAACTTCCAACAACCGTTTCAAGCTCAAGGAGGTCAAGGGTTCCAACAACCCGATAAGTTTGAAAAACTTGAAGACCTTGTGACCACCTTTGTGAGCACGAGCACTCAAAAGTTTGAGAAGATTGAGCAATTTATGGATGTGGAAACAACAAAGTTTACCTCGATTGAGGCGAGATTAAGGAGCAATCAAGCATGCCTTCAAAACTTGGAGGTGCAAATTGGCAATCTCGTCGGGATCCTCACCAAGAGGCCAAGGGGAGCCCTACCCTCTCAAACCATTGTCAACACCAAATACCAAAATACCGGTTGCAATGCTATTCTTTTGAGGAGGGGGAAGTTTACCCCTGAGGTTATTCCTAAGAAAGTGAATGAAGAAGAGAAGACCCCTCCAACGGTCACGATCATAAAGAAGTGGGAGAAACGGAAGAAGAGCCTAAGAAGGCATTGCCGATTCCACCACAAGTGGCTGAGTACAAGCCTCCTCTTCCTTTCCCCACAAGGATGCACAAGGACCGATTGGAGGCGGAGTGTGGACGATTCATGGAGATGCTCAAGAAGCTCCGTATCACCATTCCATTCTTGGAGGCCATGGTGCACATGCTAAGGTACGCCAAATACCTCAAGGGGCTTCTCGCCAAGAAGCCAAAATATAAAGACCTCGCCAATGTCACCTTACGCGAGGAGTGCTCCGCCTTTATCTTCAACAAGTTGCCTAAAAAGCAACCGGATCCAGGTAGTTTCACTATCCCCCTTTGCATTAGAAATCATCATATAGAAAACTCCTTGGCGGACTTAGGAGCAAGCATTAATGTGATGTCTTACAAGATTTTTAAGAAGTTTCATTTGGGTGAATTGAAGCCCATTAGGCTTAATGTCACATTAGCCGATCGCTCTGTCATTAATCCTAGGGGTATTATGGAGGACGTCCTAGTCAGAGTTGGAAATTTCTATTATCCGACGGATTTTGTTATCCTTGATATCGATGAAGATGCGGATATGCCACTCATACTAGGACGTCCCTTCCTTGCCACCGCCAAGGCCTTAATTGATGTTAATGAGGTAACTTTGGTGTTGAGAGATGGAGAGGAGCAACTCACTCTTTCAATTAATGCTAAAGTAAAGAATGATGTTGTGAAAGAAATGGAATCGAGTGGTATGAATGGAAGTGGAGGTGAGCCTCTCAAGGCAAGCCCCACTAGTGTGTGTATTCCCTTTGATGATGAGGTGCAGGAAACCAAGGAGGGTACTAAGCCCAGAGTAAAGAAGAAGAGAGCGTGGAGGGATACGCTTCACCAAGCCTACTCTCAACCAAAAGATAAGGCGAAAGTGTCAGGCCAAGAGGGCCACCCTATGGAGCTGAAGGTAGGAGGTGACAAGCCCGGCCTGAGACCGTGGCGGAGTCACTCTCGGTGGCTTCATGCCCTCAAGCATGATAGATCCGTAATGCCGATCTAGTGACGTGACACGCTAAAACATAACACCAAACTGCGACCAAGTGTAATCGCAGTCCGGAAATGCAATAAAGTGGCAAGCTCTATTTGTCAAACCGGGGTCTAGATCTACTGCCTACTCCGTGATTATCTATTATCTAGCAAACTAAGTCGAGTGATTTTGATTTTAACTAAAAGCAGTAAGAAAGCAAGAAATGGTTCAAAGTTCTTTAGCAATGGAAGAGTCACTCGGGAATGAGTCCCCCTAGCTCCTTAGTTAGGTTAAGGTTGCAATTACCCTGGGTTGATTAACTGTTGATTAAACTATGAAAGATCCGACAGTAGCTTGGAATCTCTTAAGCTGACAAAGCCCTCTCAGGCAGACTAACCGACAGGCGACTAACCTTCACCGGGATAGAATGATGAGGAAATAAGCATAGAACTCCACTACTGGAATTGGTTTCCAGTACAAAGCAGTAAACCGATTAACTCTCGTATAACCAATCTACCACTACCGATTGATGAAGCTCTAACAACCTAATCATATTCTATCTATCTTAGGTTGCAGCAGAAATCAAGAAAAGATGATCAGAATTTAATTGACTCAATGAATCATGCATCAATCGATTATAACCAATCAATATATCAATCCCAAGTCATTACAAGCAAGATTCCTAACACATGGAACTAGGGTTCTTCATACCCAAGTGAGATAAGGTTCTACTCCAAAGATAGAGAGAGAGGAAAACAGAAATCAGAGTAGTCATACTCATAAAGATGAGGATAATATGCTTTGGGATGTCGATCTTCAATCCCGGGGAAGCAATCTGGGCTTCAATGGTGAGAAATCCACTCGAAATAGCTCCTAGGGTTTGTTCTTTATTCTTTCTCTCTCCAAAGCTCTGTTTTTTGCTCAAAAACTAGATTCCCTCTTCTTAGGCTCGAAATTGGGTTAAAACCCAGAATTCCCCGACCACACGGACAGGCCACACGATCGTGTGGAATCCCAGTTTGCCCGTGTGAGCTCCAAAACACGGCGTTTCAATTAAGTGGTCTCATGCACGTCACACGACAAGAACTGCATGGCCGTGTAGAAAACTGCCTTGCCCGTGTAACCTCCCTGTGATTTCCTCACGGCCTCAAGGGACCCGGTACACGGCCAGTGTGGTCTTTCCCGCATAATGGAATTCCACGCGGCCACGGCTGCTAGGTCTGGCCGTGTGGTTTCCTCAGCTTCTCGCCAAACATCCAACCTTCGTCCAATCGACCCCGAACTCATTCCCAAACCTCCATTCACGTAATAGGACCTAAAATATCACAAACAAGAATAACCTAGCGTGAAATTAGCCTAAGATACGAGAAATGAGGCTCAAACGGTATAAGAATGGTGGACAAAACATGTGTATATATCAAGTCATCATGACGTTAAACTAGCGCTTGTTGGGAGGCAACCCAACATCGGTTTGTTTCCTTTTCCTTATATTTTCTCTTTTTGTGTGTGTGAATAGTTCAAATGTTGAATTTGGGTACCACCGTGCCAAGTCTCTATGGTTTTGTGTTTTGGAATGTGGTGTGATCGAATTAGGTGCATGGTTGAGTAGATTGAGTCAAGGATTTTTTGGAGTGCCCTGTTTTTCGCTCCGTTCATGGGTTGTGCTATCAATTCACGGTCTTAAAGACCATGAACTGGTACCTCCGTCCGTGAACTGAGGGTGCTCCCCCTGTTTTCATAACTCATCGTTTAACCCCAGTTCCTGGGCAGGGAGTTATGTTCACGGTCTTAACGACCGTGAACTAGCTCCTCTGTTCGTGAACTAAGGTTTCTTCCTATAAAAGGGTTGTGAACGGCTCACTGCACTTCAAGACTGCCCCTTTCGTCAGAATTTTTCAAATCTCACCGGAAAATCACGATTTTCCGTCGATTTATGTCAATTTCGGCGATCTCCACCCACCCAAACCCAAAAAAAATTACGGACCCACTCTCTCCGTGGAGCCATGTAATAGCCCATAGTCCTCGGCTTCCCCCTTCTCCATTTGGATTTAGAAGCAGATTAACCCCTCGGTGTTGGTTTCCAGCCATCTCAACCTCAACTCCTCCTTCAATTACTTCAATTACGGGACAAACTTGTTGTCCCTTTCTTCACTTCTCCTTCTTGCCTCCGCTTGCTCCCTCTCTCGAGCTAGAAGCCAGAGGGTCCGGTTGATGTCCTCGTCCAATGGTGTTAACCTATCCACTAAGGAATGGTTAGACTTCACCCCAAATTGGAGTTCAGACGGCCACCCACAACCAAACCCTAAGTGCTAATGCGAATTAGGAGGTTTTCCCTTTAACTAACCTAGAATAGGAAGCGTAGAATGCCCAAGGAAACACATCTCTAATAGAGCCTCTTATGTTAAAAAGGGTTCTCTCTAAACTAGCTTAGGAGGAATTGAATGCCCAAGGAAACCCATCTCGAAATGAGCCTTTTAGGTTAAGGATGGTTCCCTCCAAACTAGTTTAGTAGGCATTGAATGCCCAAGGAAACCGAGCCTCTTGGGTAAAGGTCGTTTCCTCTCTAAACTAGCCTAGGAGGCATGAAATGCCCAAGATCACCCATCTCAAATTGAGCCTCTTAACCTAAGGAGGTTTCCTCTCTAAACTAGCTAGGAGGCATGAAATGCCCAAGAACACCCAATGAGCCTCCTAACCTAAGGAGGTCTCCTCTCTAAACTAGGTTAGAATGAAAATTAGATTGATAGGCTTTCACACAACATAATCATTTCTGAATAATACCTCCACATTCACATTAAAACTTTCTGAATAATACCTCCACATTCACATTAAAACACAACAACAAACAAATCATTCAATTCATACAAGCATTCACATAATTGTAGCTAGGGTTTACAAACACCCAAGTGAAAGAAGGGACTACTCCATGCTAGGAGAAGGGAAAACACAAGAGCGGGAAAGAGAAACCATCAAGAAGATGCAATCCTTGCTCCTTGTGCTGAAGAAATCCTCCTTTGAGGAAGAAATTCCCAAAACCTTGCTTGGAGAAGAAATCCTAGCTTTTCCTCCTCTTTGGTTTGTCACTTTCTCACTCTAAAATCTGAAGAAGGAGAAGTTTCTTACTCTAGGTCTCTCTCCCTTTCTTCTTCCTTTCAGCAAGTCTTTTAAATGGAGATCGCGCCTAGTGCACGGCCTGAGTTCACGGCCGTGAAGATTGAAACGCGTCCATGAACTCAGTGCTGCGACCAAAACGTACCGCTTCATTTGCTCGGGTTGACGGTCAGTGGCCTTTGTTCACGGTCTTAGAGCGACCAAAACCCCCTCTGCTTTCTCCTCTGTTCACGGGTTCTGGCTCTAGTTCATGGCCTTGTGAGATCGTGAACTCCAACGTATGGTCATGAACAGCGGCTGTCTCCACCTCTTTGCCCGGTCTTTGCTCCTTTTCTTCCAACTTTCAACTTCGGGTTTGGTTTTACCTGTTAGGACCTGAAACACACTAAAACACAAACAACCTCGCGTAAAACAAACCTTTTTGGAGTTCAATTGCAACAAACATCAAAGAGAATCGGGGATAAAAACTTTACAATAAGGCCCGAATCAATGGTCGACAGGGAGCCGAATTCATCAGTTACTTGGTGAACCACGAGCGGTATGGGGCCAAGTTTTGCCAGTGGAGATACAGTGGGGCTGGGCCTCATTGGGTGCTCGATCTGGATATGTTCAACTACTATCACCCACCCACGCATAATAACAAGAAACCATTGCATAATTCTTTATGTTGATCCTTCCATGTGTGCATTATTCTTGTAGGTCAATTCCATGCATTTGTAGTTGATGACTTGGGATAATTGTGCACAAGGACCATCTTTCTCTCTTGATAATTATGGGCACAAGGCAGCAGTCAAGGTGACATTAGCTCTGTTGAGTGAAAAGTGTGCGCAGTCAGGCTGAATGTGGTTTGCTTGTGCTCTTTCACTCTTCGTAGTTTTCTTATCTAAGCTCCGAATGTACTTCCGTTATCGTCCATGAGTCCGTATTTTCTCCTTCCATAACGTCGGGTGGTTGATTCTCATATTATGAAATGATTTGACTCAAGTTTGAACCATTCTCATATTTTGCTTGTTTTAGGATTTAACAGGTGAAACTAGCCCCAGAGTCGAAAGTTGGACGAAAAGGTGCAAAAACCGGGAGAAGAGGTGAAAAACCGGCAATTCACGGTTGCTCTTGGATGTTTACGGCCAGCTAAGACCGTGAAGATGAGCTGTTGCCCGTGAACACCCATGCGTCCAGAGCCAAATCTTAAGTTACTGACGCGAGGTGAGTCACGGTCACTAAGACCGTGAACTGGAGCAGTTGCCCGTGAACCCGTGCAAGCAAAGAGGTACGTTTCAACGTCAATCTTGAGTTCACAGACGCGTTCAAGAGTTCACGGCCGTGAACTGAGCCTGATCCCTACTTAAAAGGAGAGCTGAAAGGAAGAGAGAAGGGAGCCCAAAAGTGAGAAAGTGCCTTCTTCAGATTTTAGAGAGAGAAAGAACGAACCAAGGAAAGAAGAAGGCTACAGGGTTTGCTCCAAGTGGTGAATTGGGAAGATTCTCCCCAAGAGAAGTTTAGCACAAGCTCAAGGAAGATTGGAAGCATCTCCATGATGGTTTCTACCTCTTCCTCTTGTGTTTCTCCCCTTTCTAGCATGGAGTAGTTTCCTTTTTCACTTGGGTGTTGTGAAACCCTGACTATTTACCATGTCATTTTTGTTATGTGAATTGAATGATTATTCATGGTTGTTGTTTAATTCTATGATTGAGGTATTTTTCATGTTGATTGTGCATGTTTGTGCTTAGCAATCTAATTGGCCATTTTAACCTAGATTAGAGAGGGAAGACCCCCTTTCAAGGGAGGCTCAATTGAGTTGGGATTCCTAGGGATTTCTAAGCCACCTAACTAGGTTAATGTAGGGCAAGCCTCCATGTTGAATTAAGCAATTTGGTTAAGCGCGATTAAGCCGACCAACCATTGGGTTGAGAGAGGGAGTAAGTCAACTATAGATTGCCTTAACCAAGAGGGCCTCTTGAAAAACCTATAATGTATCCCTCGGTTTGGAAATCGAGAGTGTGGTCTACGACCATATATGTGTCCCCTAGCGGTTCGCGGTCACCTCGCCCATGGCAATCGTTTTGATCCACATGCCATGGTAGTAGTTAGGGGGAAGCGACACCCAAGTAATCCTTCTCACAAAAGAGCTTTCAAAACCATTTACTTTTACCTTGCTTTACTTTAATTAGCAAAAATTTCAACCAAAACCTACTCGCTAGATAATGATTCCAATGACTGAAGTAGGGGTATACAGACCAGCCCAAGTTGATATATAAAAATACTTGCCCTGTACTGCACCCGACTAAGGTTTATTCTTGGACCATAGGCGGGAACTAATTGTGGTATTCGGGACGTGTCAAGTTTTTGGCGGCGTTGCCAGAGAAAATGGTCTGTTATCTTGAAAAAGTTTTTTGGTGTTAATCTAGCTTTTGATTTCCAATTGTGAAAGTGTGTGTTCTTTGCTTGTGCTAGACTTGGTGTTGTTTTCTGATTTCGTGTAGGAGGTGCATGACCCGGAGTAATCCAGCACCTTTGCTACCCCGTGACGAGGACATAAACTGAACTCTCCCACTACTAGCACGAGAGAGGGAGCTAGCGGAGGCAAGGAGAAGAAGTGAAGAAAGGGGACAACAATTTGTTCCCGGTGTTAGTGGAGTAGAAGTTGAACAAGTGGAAGGTGAACCCGACATTGGAGTAGAAATGGCGGGGAACCAAAGAGAAGAGGGAGCCGCCCAAGCTCGTAATCTGAACGATGCGGCGACAGAAGAGGAAATCCCGAGGACAATGGGATACTAACTGGCCCCAGGGCCGGCTGACATTCAATCGCCAATCTTGCAGCCTCCCGTGGCGGCCAAGAATTTCGAGATCAAGCCGGCTCGTGACTATGATACAGAACAATGCTTTGTTCCATGGTCTTCCGAGCGAGTCACCAAGAGAGCATGTGCAGAGATTCCTGGAGCTCGCATGGAGCTTGAAAATCAATGGCATGCCGGCTGAAGCTTTTCAACTGAGACTTTTCCCCTATTCACTTGCGGGAAAAGCAATCTGGTGGCTAAACAACCGCCCACCTCGTTCAATCACCTCATGGGACGATCTTTTCAACAAATTCATGACCCGTTACTGCCCGCCTTCGAAGATGGTCAAGTGGAGAAAGAAGATCACCCATTTTGAGCAAGAGGAAGACGAGACCTTGAGGGATGCTTGGGAGAGATTCTCCGATTACTTTCTTCAATGCGCTCAACATGTGATTGAGGAGCAGTTTTGAATTGAAAGTTTCTATGATGGACTAATCCAAGAAGACAAAATTCTCATTGACTCTCTGTGTGAAGGGAAATTTATGAATTTAATGCCACCGCAAGTGACCAAATTGCTCGAGGACATGGCCCTCAAGGGGTACGATTGGGGTTTGACGAGGAGCGGGAGAAGAAGTAATGATAGAGGAGTGAGAAGTAAGGAGGCGACCATTCCGTAGGAGCATGTCAATTTCGTGTCAAATACTAATAATCCGTATAGCAATACTTATAATCCCGGATGGAGGAACCACCCCAATTTTGCTTGGTCATCACCGACTAATCCGACGTCCCCGGATTTTCAAGGCCCTACAGGCAATTATCAACCTCGCCCAACCTTCATCCATAAAAGGGCTTGTAACACCCCAAACTTCGAGAAATTTATAAACAAATTAAATTTTACGAGGAAACAAGAATTCCAATCCTACGCAAGTAAGTTGCGATTGAAACTATTGATTGGTGACATTTCGAGTAAGAATATTCTGGATCAATTTATCAATAATCAGTATCTAAGCTCGACACTCTAAGTTATGAAATTCTTCTACGATCACGTAGAATTTTACAGATCTTAATTCCGGACCCAGGTAGCTTTACTATCCCTCTTGGTATTGGTAACCATCATCTAAACAATGCCTTGGCGGACCTAGGAGCTAGTGTTAATGTGATGCCCTACAAGCTTTTCAAAAAGTTAGAAGTAGGTGAACTTAAGACCACTAAGCTACCTGGGTCGGACTCAGATACGCCGTCATACTCGGTCGCCCATTCCTCACCACCGCCAAGGCATTGATAGATGTTAATGAGGAAAACTTAATTCTAAGGGATGGTGAGGTGAGAATCAAGCTTGAAATTGACTCCAAGGCTAGAAGAGAGGAAGTGAAGGAGTTGGTTTCAAATGATGTGAAAGAGAGTGAAGGAGAGCCTCTAAAGGCAAATCCCACCATTACTTGTGTTGCTTGTGGTAATGTTGACCAGGAAGTCAAGGAGGGTGGTATGCCCAAGGAAAAGAGGAAGATTGCTTGGAGGCAAAATAGGAAGGAAACTTTGGCCCAAAGGAAGGAGAGGGCCAAAGCGAAGTTGGTCAACAAAGAGGGCCAACTCATGGAGCCTAAGATGGGAGGCTACAAGCCTCGCCCGGAGATTGTGGTGGATCCACTCTTAGTGGCATCAAGTTCCAAGATGTGATTGATCCCCAACCGTCAAGCTAATGACGATAACTTAACGCTTGTTGGAGGCAAACCAACGGAGGTTTGTTTTCTTTTCCTTAATTTCGTTTTTGTGTCAAGTGAAGATTTCAAGTAGTCAAGTGGTTTCCCCGTGCCAAGTCTTGTGGTTTTGCGATTTAAAGTTGTGTTGTGATTGATTAGGAGGCATGGTGGAATAGGTTGAGTCAAATTTGGCTCAGAAGTGCCCTGTTTTCACTGATGTTCATGGACGGATTGCTGAGTTCATGGTCTTACAAGACCGTGAACAAGCAAACGCGTTCGTGAACTGGCCGCTTCTGCATGTTCACCACCTATCGACAAACCCCAGTTCGCAGACGCATTTGAGTGTTCACGGTCGCTAAGACCGTGAACAAGGCAATGCGACTGTGAACTCCGTGTTGTGCCTATAAAAGGGCGGTGAACGGCGAGTCTTCACTTCACGACCCAAATCTCGCCGGAAAACCGCGAAATTCCAACGGTTTTTCAATTTCCCTTCATTTTCGGCGAGCAAAACCCAAAACCAACTTCATTCCCATCCTCCCCTCATAAAAACCGGCCTGTGCTGCAATTTTAACAAGATTTGGGGCAAGTTTTCTCTGGTCAAGTCGCCGACGGCGAGTCCACGACGAGCTTTCGACGAAGTTCCGGTGACCCCTCTCCGGCTTGTTTTTCTGTCATTTTTCGCCTTCCTCGCCCGCACCTCACTTCCTCCTACGTCCTACTTGCGTATCCAGGTTGGTTTTTGAGTTGTACCTTATTAATTTGTGGAGAATCGGATTAGGTAGTGAAGTGAGGATGATTTTTGTGCTTGGCTTGTTGAACCTAGATTTAGGGCGAGGAATTAGGTGAACTTGGTCGATTGAATGGTGGAATGTTAATGTTTGTGCCTAGTTGAGCCTTGGTGGGCGTGTTTGAACCAAATTGTATATATTTTTAGAATGTACCCACCAAGTGCTATTTTGTGAATGCATGAGAAACCTTATGCTTGTTTGGTGGATGGTAGCCACCGTGGTTTGGGTTTTGGTTCGAACTTTAGTATGAATGAACCGTGAAACACCCACAACCATGCCGCGGTGTGCTTAAGCTTTAATGTTTGATATCCATGGTGGAAATATAAGTGTGGGGGGAATCTCTTTTCCTCCCAATGAGCAATATTTGATGATTGTTTCCGCGTATGGTGCTTGTTTACTGATTTGTGCAGGCTGGTTAACATGGAATACCCATATCTTGTGGCGCTAAGGGGTCGCCCTGAAATGGAAAAAGAGGTGTTTTTGGGCATCTTCGAGAGTTGGTAACCATTGGAAACTCGACTTCGCACAGTTCGACAGGTTTCATAGCGGTGATGCTATGAGGGAGGCATTGGTGTACCCACAATGGTGCCATGTCCTTGATCTCAAAGATGACTTTTACGGGGAACTATGCGTCGAGTTTTTCAGCACCTTCAACATCCTCAAGAGACAATGCCTACTCGGCCATCTAGTACGTAGGGTCGAATTCCAGTTGGCAGGGGAAGGTCGCATTATGAGCTACGACAAGTTAGGCGAGGCCCTTGGAGTGAAAGCCAAACATGAGGACGATTGGGAGGAAGACACCATCCAAAGTTTCGACGTGAATGCCGCATTTTTGAAGTTTTGCCTTCCAAAGTACTGAAGGAAAAAATTTTAGGTCGGCCCTCACAACGGCATCCACACTCTAACCCTAGTGGTGTGTCATCGTTGCACTTCTGTCTCATTCCCTCTACCCGGCTTACCACAACCCGAACAAGATAACCGAAAGAATCTTATTGGCTTGTTCTTGCATGGTGGACCTATCTAGCACTATGCACCTAGGTTCAGTCATTGCCACTTCTTTTGCCAGGTCCAAGGGGGGAAACCATCGTTATGTCACATCGATGGGTCCCTACATCACCCGTCTTGCTCGATACTTCAAAGCCAGCCTTTGATTCGGGCCTAAATGTACATGTTTTGCCCCCGTTTTCCTTAGTCGTATGTGGCAACTTCGCTCCTAAAAGGTTGGTTTTACTCTAGGTTTCTCGTGTTTTAGGGTTTCAGGATTTAACAGGTGAAACCAGCCTCGGAGTCGAAAGTTGGACGAAAAGGATCGAAACCCGAGAGAAGAGGTGAAAAAGGGTGTGAGATCACGGTTTTCTTGGGATGTTCACAGTTTACTTGATTGTGAAGAAGAACCATTGGCCGTTAACCTTGAGGCGTCCAGAGCCCAAATGTAAGTTACTGACGCAAGACGTGTTCACGGTCACTAAGACCATGAACAGGATCTGTGGATCGTGAACACAAGGAAGCAAAGTGGTGTGTTTAGGCGCCCAATTGGAGTTCACGGAAGCGTTTCAGTGTTCACGGCCGTGAACTGGGGCCGTGAAGACAGCCCATTCCCTGTTTAAAAGCTAATCTGAAAGGAAGAGAGAGGGGAGAGCCCATTTGTGTGAGAAAGCCTTCTTCTAGTTTCTAGAGAGAGAAACACGAAACAAAGAAGAAGGAGGCTAGGGTTTTGCTCCAAGGTGGATTTTGGGAAGATTTCCTCCAAGGAAAGTTCAACAAAAGGGCCAAGAAGATTGGAAGCCTCCTCCAAGATGGTTTCTACCCCTTCTCCTTGTGTTTCTCCCATCTCTAGCATGGAGTAGAATTCTTTTCACTTGCGTGTTGTGAAACACTAACTCTACCATGTAGTTTTATTTTATGTGAAATGAATGATTGTCATTGGGTATTGTTTAATCCAAATGTTTGAGGTATTATTCATCTTGATTGTGTATGTTTGTGCTTAGCATCCTTAGGTTTGTGCATGTCTATGCTTAGCAACCTAAGGATTGTGCATGTTTATGCTTAGCAATCTAATTTGCCACTTAACCTAGTCTAGAGAGGTCCAAGGGAGTCTCAATCGAGTTGGTATCCCTAGGGCTTTTCAAGTCTTCTAACTAGGTTAATTTAGGGCAAACCTCAATATTGGATTAAGCAATTTGGTTAAGCGCGATTAAGCCGGCCAACCCTTGGGTTTAGTGAGGGAGTAAGTCAACCATTGATTGCCTAAATCGAGAGGGCCTAGGGAAAGCCTATAATGCATGCCTTGGTTTAGCAATCACGAGTGTGGTCTACGACCATATTTGCGTCCCCTAGCGGTTAGCGATCACCTTGCCTATAGCAATTATTTCGGTTCACATACCATGGTAGTAGTTAGGGGAAGCGACACCCGAGTGATCCTTCCACAAACGAGCTTTCAAAACCATTCACCTTTGTCTTGTTTTACTTTAATTATCAAACTTTTCAACCAAAACTTTGTTGCTAGATATTGATTCAAATGACTGAAGTAGGGGTAGACGGACCAGCTCGAGTTGATATTTAAACATACTTATCCTATACTGCACCCGACTAAAGTTTTTACTTGGACCTTAGGGGGGAGATTGTTTTGGTATTCTGGACGAGTCAAGTTTTTGGAGCCGTTGCCGAGGACAACGGTGTGTTATCTTGCAAAAGTTGTTTGGTGTTAATCTAGCTTTTTAATTTCCAGTTTTGAAAGTGTGTGTGCTTTGCTTATGCTAGACTTGGTGTGTTTTCCAATTGTGTGTAGGTGGTGCATGACTCGGAGTAACCCGACACCTTTGCTACCACTTGACGAGGACATAAACTGAACTCTCCGTCTCCTATCAAGGGAGAGAGAGCTAGCGGAGGCAAGGAGAAGGAGTGAAGTAAGGGGACAACATTTGGGTCCCGATGTTAATTGAGAAGAAGTTGAAGAAGTGGAAGTTGAAATTGTCGTTGTAGTAGAAATGGCGGGGAACCAAAGGCAAGATGGAGCCCAAGCTCATCAACTGAACAATGCGGCAGAGGAAGAGGAAGCTGATGCGAACCAGCTCACCCCACATGACGTCACTCGAGCTTAAATTAGATCTCTACATGGACCATGGGCCAAGAGAAGATTTAAGAGGTTTAAAGAGATCTTGGGAGCTTTAAAGGTGGAAGAAAAGGGCTCTACAAGCAAGACTTACGAGTTTGCTCATGTGAAATTTAATGCGAACATATATAGCTCTCGTGGTCCAAAAATGAAGGTATGAATACAATGATACAAGGACCAAATAGGATCATTCTTTATGGATATGGAATTGCATCGAGGAAAGGCTATCACATGCTTCAATTCGTGGATCCAAATCACGAGAAGATGGGCTTGGAGAAAGGAGTGAAGATTTGGCCCAAAAGGAAGGGATTCCCCCATGGTGTGAAAGGAATACAAGTGGAAAAGGAATATTAGGTGTGAACAAAAGCCATGTGAGGAAGGATTTTAAGGCTAGAATTAAGGGTTGAAAAAGTCAAATTTGTTTCCTTTTCTTTGTAGGACTTTGTTTACTTGTTTGTTAAGGTTTTGTTTTCCTTTTACAAGTAGGATTTGGGTTTCCTTAGTAGTTTTGTGTTTAGATTCGTGGCTTTATAAATAGGAGTCCAACCAATGTATTTTTCATTCAAGTTTTCAGCAATCAATTACAAGTGAGTTTGTGTGAGTTAAATTGTGAACGTTTTTGCTTAATTTCTCCTTTGAGGATTCAAGAGAATTGAGTGGTCTCTTATCAACTAGAAAACGCGTCTAGTTGTGGCAAGCATCGACCATATCGGTTGGCCTCTTCCACGGGTTCGAGATTGTTTGGAAGGTTTCATATACCTTCTGGCGCTTCTCACGAGTTCGGATTTGTTTGATCGATTTCCGCGACTATCCTTTATTATCGAGTTCAAGAAAATCAAAGAATCAAGAAAATCAAGAAAATCAATAAAAGGTCGTTTTCAAGAAAATCACGAAAAGATCATTGGAGCTGCGTACTTTGGTCATATCATCCGATTTTGAGGGTTCTCTTCGAATTAGGGTCATATAAGAAGCCCCAAGGACGATGGGGTACTATATGGCCCCAAGGCCGGCAGACATTCAATCGCCAATCCTACGTCCTCTGTTGGCGGCAAACAATTTCAAGATCAAGCCGACTCTAGTGACTATGATATAAAACAATGCTTTATTCCACGGCCTTGAGAGCGAGTCACCAAGAGAGCATGTGGAGAGATTCTTGGAGCTTGGGGGAAGCTTGAAAATCAATGGTGTGCCGGCTGAAGCTTTGTAACTAAGGCTTTTCCCATATTCACTTTCGGGGAAAGCACTTAGGTGGCTTAACAACCGCCACCTTGTTCAATCACCTCATGGGACGACCTCCTCAACAAGTTTTGGCTCGCTACTGCTCGCCTTCAAAGACGGAGGAGTGGAGAAAGAAGATAACCCATTTCGAGCAAGAAGAGGACGAGACCTTGAGGGATGCTTGGGAGAGGTATTGCGACTATTTTCTTCAGTGCCTTTACCACGGGTTTGAAGAACAGTTTCGGATCGAAACCTTCTACGGAGGCCTAATGAAAGGAGATAAAATCCTCCATGACTCCTTGTGTCAAGGGAAATTGATGAATATGGCTCCACCCAAATAACCGAGATTTTTGAAGACATGGCCCTTAGGGGATAGGATTGGGGGTTGATTAGAAGTGAAAGAAGAAACTATGATTGGGGAGTGAGAAGCGTGGGAGCGAGTGCGCCGTTTGAGGCGATGTTGGATAAGTTGATAGAGGTTATGCTTGAAGACAAGAGGCAAGGGAAAAAGGTCGTTGATGTCGTGAGACTGGTGCTCGAGCACCAGTCATGAGATGGCGGAGCGTCAAGCAATGAAGGAGGCAACCACTCCGGAGGAGCAAGTCAACTTCGTTGCAAATGCTAGGGCCAACAACCCGTATAGCAATACTTATAACCCCGGATGGAGGAACCACCCCAACTTTGCTTGGGCATCACCGACAAATCCAAGGCCCCACGGGAAATTTCCAACCTCGGTCGACCTTCATCCAACAAAGGCCCCAACTCCAAGGCTCAAACTTCCAAAAACCGTACCAATCACAAGGTGCACCAGGATTTCAACAACAACAACAACCCGACAAACTATCTAAGCTTGAAGACCTAGTGAACAATCACTACAAGAAAATTCACTTTCTGCGACGGAAAAAAATCGTAGTAGAAAGCCTAAATTCCGTCGCAAAATCATTATGCGACAAATTTAACTGTCGTAGAAAATAAAAAACTTTCGTCATTATCAGAAAGTTCAGCGACGAAAAAAACTAGTTTGTCGCAAAAAAATCAAATTTGTCGCAGAAGTTTGATGATTTACAGACGACCATGCCGTCGCAGAATGGTGATTCTGCGACAAAAATTGCTCCGTTGCAGAAAGAAAGGTTATTTGGCAACGGGTTATTTCGTCACAAAAAGTTAAATGATTTAGCGAAGAAAAACCAGTTTTCAAGTTATTCACAATTTATTTTCTGGTTAATTTCAATATAGGTCACAATTTCGTTTCATCCTATTTTCAGTATAGGTCATAATTTTTCACCCGGTTCGTTTTCTGATTCATTCTTTTGTCAAAACTCAAATAAACACCTCATCAAACCTAAAAATGAAGATTTGCTCAAATTAAGTACACTATCAATTCCTCATTCAAAATCCAAATTTGCTAAGTGAGATCTCTTAAACAACTTAAAAAAACAGAGCATATCCCGTTTGGAAGAGCAGATCTGGTTTCTTTCATTCGCTTTTCCTGTTGGAAGAGCAGATATGGTCGTCCTTGCCCGACTGGACCCGATTCGTCGCGCCAGAGACAAAAATCCAAGCCAACTGTCAATCTCCTTTCACCGTTGTCAACACCGGAAGCCACTAGAGAGCCCCTTTTCTTCTCCCCTCGTTCTCAACCAAAACCAAGAAGGAAAGATGTCATTGCCCGTTCTCTTGAACCAGAAAATGAAAAGAAAAACACACATGCAGGCCGAATCTTACATGGATCTTCGCTTTTCTGATCAAAAGAGGAGCCGATTTGTCGCGGCCAAGGGCCAACACCCAGGCCCCCTGTCAATCTTCCTTCAGCGTAGACGAACCCCGAAGCTTCCGGCTATACCCTTTTCTTCCAGTTTGCTTTTCTCATCGAAAGAAGCAGATTTCCCACTGACGGTTTCAAGTTGTTTGCTGTCTACATATTGAGTAGGGATGGCAATGGGTCGGGTTGGGGCGGGTTTTGTCAAACCCAAACCCAAACCCAAACCCATGGGTTCATCCACCAAAAAAACCCAGGGTAAAACCCGTTAGGTTTGAAAAACTCAAACCCACCCAACCCGCTGGGTATCCGCGGGTTCATGGGTACCCATGGGTTTTTGTGATAAAAAATTTACAATAATAAGTTTCATTTCAAAATAAAAGTTTAACATCAATTTTCTCATACAAAAAACACCAATTTAGAGCATACAAGCAAACCGCAAATGATCAATAGAAATTGTTCAAAATTAAAGATAAACATCTATAAACAATAAGATTAATTGAAAGCTTCTTCCTCTTCAACTAAGTTGCTTCACTCTCCACTTTATAATATCAACTTCATTCTAAACAATTAGAAAGAACAAATTAGACATGTCTCCACAAACATAAAGAATATTAGTTGTTTAAGGAAGATATATTATTTGGAATATTAAATATACCGACAAAGTAATTATATGTGTGTGGGCGGGTACCCATGGGGCGGATTTACCTAAACCCAAACCCAACCCGACCCGATAAATAATGTAGCGGGTTTAAACCCGAACCCGACCCAAAACCCGTCAACACGGGTTTTACCCGCGTTGACATGGTTGGGTCGGGTGGGTACCCGTGCGTTCGGGTTTACAAACCCTCTCTTCCTTTATATACTAACACCCTACTCAATTGACCAAAATACCCTTCTGATACCTACAAATAACCCGTTGTAATAGAGCCTCCACCAGGTCGCAGAACCAAAAAATATCCATGGAGATTCGAACCACTGACCTTCAGCCAAGTTCTATACAAAGACAAATGTTTCAACCACTTATGCTACTACGAAAGCAATTGTTACATTTACTTTTCGTTCAATTCTGGCCATTAATCAAGCTTAAGATTTCAAAAACCATCATTTACGTCTAAATCTCTTAAATACTTAATCATGTTGAGTTTATGGGACCGGAGCTCAAAGGTTATCTTCAACTAATTTACAAACCAATCATGTAGAGTTTAGGCAAAATACACATGTATAGTCATAACTTTCACACTTTTGACAAATATAGCCATTTCTATTCGAAAACCACAAATAGCCAATTCCGTCCATTTTGGTAACGGTGTTAGTAGACGTTATGACTGTACTAACGGCTTGCGCTGAGTTGGCCACTGAGTTACCCCACCTTCCGACGTGGAAATCAGACGTGGAAATGAAAAAAACAAAAAAAAAGTTTTAAACAAAAAGAATAAATTAACACAAAATCCCCAATATAACCACATGAAATCCCTAAAATCTATTTTCTCCATTGTTGTTCTCCGAAGCTTCCCTAAAATCTATCCCTAGAAATCAACGCTTCAATCGACACCCTCTCTGCTGGCTGGATCCCTCGAGGCCGAGAAGCACCTCAAGCCGCCGCCGCAACGCATCGCCACCTGAAATACCACCACCAGTAGCACTTCTTCATCCTCAATTGTCGTCGCCGTCATCATCGTCTTCTTTACCCCTGCGGTGGAGATGAGATTTGGGTAGGAGAGATGATGACCCGCAGGGTTCGGCCCAAATCAGGTCGAGGCGATCGGGCTCTGCCGTAGAGACCTCGACCCGCCGAATTGCCGATCCTGCATCAAACTCTCCGAATCAGAAGGAAGCAATCACGTATTACAATTTATGTATGCAACGCTACTCCAGCCCATCATTTCGCAGCAACTCCGACCTCCTAGAATTCGCTCTGATCCCACCGCCGGTCGGAGGGGGGATTTGCAGGGTCCTTTGTGGAACCGAAATTGCCGTCATCATCGTCTTCCTTTACCCCTACGGTGGAGATGAGAGTTGGGTAGGAGAGATGATGGCCCGACCTGCAAAAAAGGGGGCAAGGGCGGCGGTGAATAGCGGAAACAGAGGGTCGCGAATCGTCATCCTCCCCCACTTCCGACGAAAGCTGAGATGGGTGGCGAATCTGGAGATGAGCTACTCGATTTGGGGGTTTTCGGATGGGTTTGAGAACTGAGTTTGGGTTCTTCTTTGTCGATTGAAACTTGAAAGAGAGAAAAAGGATCTGGGAGCTATGTAGGCGGATTAGAATTGGAGTGGAAGTGAAGGAGAATATGCGGATGATGATGGAAAGGGCACGCTTAATCATCTCCTTTTTTGTTTAATTATATTTTTTTTTGTAGGTGTATAGATCTAGGAGGAGAGAGAAGAAGGATAATTTTTTTGATTTATTAATTAATTTGTTTTCAAATTAAAATATGACATGGCACTTACGTGGCAAGTGTTGTTGAGTTGTCGCTGACGTGTCCTATGATTTGGCATCCTAATCAGCGTAGCGTTAACCTAACTGACGGAGTTTCTAAAACCGTTAAAGTTTTTAACTAAAATGGCTAGATTTGTCACACGACCATCCAATTTCTTGGCTATTTTGTGTTTTCGGATAGTTATGGCTATATTTGTCAAAAACGTAAAAGTTATGGCTATACAAGTGTATTTTGCCTAGAGTTTAAATAACATGTCAAGATTTATCAATCTATAAAATAATTATACGTTTTCGTTGCCTTTTATAAAATAAAATTTCTTAATACAAATCAATTGAATGCGGTAAGTTTTTTTAACTTAGTTATGTGCATAGTTACTCATAACTAAATATTCTTAATTTGCAAAATGGCTCGAATATTCTGCGACAGAAGACAATCGTCGCAAAAAGAATCGAACATTTTGTGACGTAAAACAATCATCGCCGAAGGTCACGAACATTATGCGAAGATTATAAGCGTCGCAGAAAAGCTCAAAATATTCGAACTGCATTTCGTCGTAGAAGTTTTCACATATTCTGCGACACTAGATATTCGTCGCAAACAGTCTCAAACATTCTGCGACGAAGATAAGCGTCGTAGAAAATATCTGAATAATCTGCAACGGTGTACAATCGTCGCAGAAAGTCCCCAAACTTTTTGCGATGATATAAGTCGTTGTGAAAAATAATCGACCGTCGCAAAATCCTATACCCCACCTACCGCGGAATATTAACACAATCCGCCACGAAAATACAAAATTCGTTGCAAAATGTTCACTTTGTGAGTACGAGTGCTCAAAAGTTCGAGAAGATAGAGCAATTTATGGAAGTGTCGACTACCAAGTTTACCTCGGTTGAGGCGGGTCTCCAAAGCCAACAAGCGAATCTCCAAAGCTTGGAGGTGAAAATCAACAATCCCGCCGACATCCTCACCGAGAGACCCAACGGGGCCCTACCTTCCCAAACAGTAGCGAACCCCAACAAACATACCAGGGTGAATGCACTTTAAGTGAGGAGTGTGAAGGTGATTTCGAAAGTCTCCACTAAAGAAGTGAAGGAGAAGGAAGATACCATCCCGAAGAAGGGAGAGAAGAAGCCCTCGAGGAATGAGAGGAAAGCGGCAAGGAAGGCATCGCCACTGGGGCAGTACACGCCACCTCTTCCTTATCCCACTAGGATGTACAAACAGAGGTTGGAGGACGAGTGTGAAGGTTTCATGGAAATGCTCCGCAACCTCCACCTCAACATCCCTTTCCTTGAAGCCATGGCTCAAATGCCAAGATATGCCAAGTACTTAAAAGGATTCCTCACCAAGAAGCCAAGGCTTGAAGGCCTCGCCAACGTGACTCTTGGCGAGGAGTGTTCGGCTTACCTCCTCAACCGCTTGCCCAAAAAGCGGTCCGACCCAGTAGCTTTACTATCCCTCTTTATATTGATAACCATCATATAGACAATGCCTTGGCGGATCTAGGAGCTACTGTTAATGTGATGCCCTACAAGCTTTTCAAAAAGTTATAAGTAGGTGAACTTAAGACCTATAAGCTTAGCATCACCTTAGCCGACCATTCGGTCATTAGCTCGAGGGGTGTTATGGAGGACATGATGGTGAGAGTGGGCAAGTTTTCCTATCCGACCGATTTCGTGATTCCCGAATATGCCACTCATCCCTGGTTGTCCCTTTCTTGCCACCGCCAAGGCATTGATAGACGTTAATGAGGAGTCTTAATTCTGTGGTTAGGAGTGATGAAGCTTGAAATTGACCCTAAGGTTAGGAGTGATGAAGTGAAGGAAGTGGTTTCAAATGATGTGAATGAGAGTGAAGGAGAGCCTCTCAAGGCAAACCCCACCATTCCTTGTGTTGCTTTTGGTAATGTTGAGCAGGAAATGAAGGAGGGTACTATGCCCAATGAGAAGAGGAAGAATGTTTGGAGGAAGAAGATGAAATAAGCTATGGCCCGAAGGAAGGAGAAGGCCAAAACAAAGTTGGGCAATCAAGAGGGCCAACTCATTGAGCCTAAGAGGGGAGGCTCCAAACCGTCAAGTTAATGACGATAAATTAGCGCTTGTTGGGAGACAACCCAACGGAGGTTTGTTTTCTTTTCCTTACTTTCGTTTTTGTGTCAAGTAGTTCGAGTGATGAAGTGGTGTCCCCGTGCCAAGTTTGCGGTTTTGCGACGTAAGGTTGTGTTGTGATCGATTAGGATGCACGGTGGAATAGGTTGAGTCATTTTATTGTCAGAAGTGTCCTATTTTCTCGGATGTTCACGGACGGATTGCTGAGTTCACGGTCTTGTAAGACCGTGAACATGCAAACTCATCCGTGAACTGGACGCTTCTGCATGATCATCACCTGTCGACCAGCCCCAGTTCACAGACGCATTTGAGTATCCATGGTCGCTAAGACTGTGAACAAGGCAACGCGTCCATGAACTCCAAGTTGCGCCTATAAAACGGGCGTGAACGTCGACTCTTCACTTCACGACCAAATCTCGTCGGAAAATTTCAAATCTTTGCTAGAAAACTGCGATACTCCTTCAGTTTTCAATTTTTTCCCCATTTCCGGCGAGCAAAACCCAAAACAAATGTCATACCCATTCTCCCCTCTTCAAAACCGGCATGTGCTGAAATTTTGGGGAGATTTGGGCCAACTTTTTTCCGGTCAAGTCGGCGGCGGCAAGCTTCCGACGAGTCCCCGACGAGATGAAGCTCTGACTACCCCGCTCAGGTCAGTTTTTCGGCCGTTTTTCACCTTCCTCGCCCGCACCTCACTTCCTCCTACGTCCTACTTGCGTCTCCTGGTTGGTTTTTCAGCTTTACCTTATTAATTTGTGGAGAATTTGATTAGGTAGTGAAGTGAGGATGATTTTTGTGCTTTGCTTGTTGAACCTAGATTTAGGGCGAGGAATTAGGTGAATTAGGTCGATTGAATGGTGGAATGATTTTTTCTTAAGCTTAGTTGAGCCTTGGTGGGTGTGTTGATCCGATTTGCCCACCAAGTGCTATGTTATGAATGCAAGTGGAGTTTTATGCTTGATTGGCGGATTGTTGCCACCGTGGTTTGGATTGTGGTTCAATTTTTTGTGTGCTTGAACCGTGAATTACCCACAACCATGCCAAGGTGGTTAGAGCTTAAATGTTTGATAACCATGGTGGAAAAACAAGTGTGGGGGGAATCTCTCTTCCTCCCAAGGGGAATTTTCTGATGATTGTTTCCACGTATTGTGTCTGTTTGTCAATTTGTGCAGGATGCTTAACTTGGAGCATGAGTACATCCGATATTTGGTGCACCACCCAAATTTTGGCGACAAGTTTGCCTACCAGAGTGGCAGCCCAATTGGGGCTCACTGATCGCCACTTCCTTCGCCTGGTGTCTGGGGCGGAACATAATGGACACCATGCATATGGGGGGCCTCATCACGAGGGTGGCCTGACACTCCGGGTGGATCTGACTTGGTGCACCAGCGCCGAGTGGAGTACCTTGAGGGACTCCGACCTTCAGGAGTCATCCGAGCTGTAGTTGACCCTGCACCAGTAAAGCCTGACCCCGAGGTCCTGACACTAGCAGAGCAGCCACCTGCTCATGCACCCGGCCGCCGCCGCCGTCCAGCGCTCCAACGCCCAGCATAGCCACCAGCAGCAGCGGCAGGTGATCCCTTCGTTTAGAGGGTGGATCTCCTTGAGACGAGCTTCGTGGGATTCTCTTTTCGCCTGGACCGGCAGACTGACATCCTCGAGCTTATGGGTCGACGCCAGCGAAATGTTTGGCCATTGGTTGTGTGAGTGGTTTTGTATTGATGTTGTAGGTTCTAGGTGAATTGTTGAACCTCATGCTTTATGTGACACCACACAAAAAAGCCTTTTCCCCATGTCCGAGACCCTAGCCAGTCATCTAAACTCATGTCTAAGACCTTCGGACAAGCTAGTGATGAAACCTATCCTGTGAGCTCTAGCATTTTGAGTGTAAAGTATGCACATATTTTGCATCAACATGCTCTTGACCCCACTGGCCGAGAGTGAGTGATTCATTCATCTTATCTTGTTCATATCATACCCAGGTGAGGACGTAGTTTGCTCATTCGTTTGTTCCTCTGATGTGATCTTTATGCAAGGATAACTGCGTTCTGTGAGTCGTCGTTGTAGGATATGTTTTGGTTTGTGAACAGGGTGAGAAATTTTTGTTTTCACGTTCTTAATGCATTCAAATGTCATTTGTGGTTGTTGCCAGAATTTATTGTTGTTCTCCATATGTCGATGCCAAATAGACATTGAGATCCATCCACTTTGTGCCCTTTGACATGTCCCAAAGTCATTATGTTTAGATTGAAATATTACCTTGTTTGAGATTGGTTTGCTTGGAGACAAGCAAACGTCCAATTATGGGGGAGTTTAATTCGTGCATAATTACACATGTTTCGCCCCCATATTCTTGTGATGTTTGAGGCATTTACATCGCTCGAGGATCAATTTTACCCTAGGTTGTGTATGTTTCAGGTCTTAGTAGGTGGAATTGACCTCGAGAGCGAAATTAGAACGAAAGAAGGCAAAAATGCAATAAAATGGAAAAAAAAGCCAAGGTCACGGCTAGAGGACGTTTGTCACGAGCAAGAGATCGTGACAATTGAGCGAGACCGTGAAGATCGCAAGGATCCAAGAGCTTTTACAGACCTCGAGGGCAAGTTGGAGATCACGGGCACCCGATCGTGACAATTCTGCCCCTGTCGTGAAATCTCTAAATGAAACAGTGTGTTTTAGCTCGTGATCACATGCAAGCCTCCGAGATCACGACCATGACATTTGATCGTGACAATCGCGACTAAGGAGGGATGAGCTGAAACCAAAGAGGGAGAATTCTTGAGTGAGATTGGCTTCTTCCTCTTTATCTGGAGAGAGAAATTTATCAACCAAAGGAGAAAGAAGAAGTTCTTGACCTCCCCAAGGCTTGAAGAGTTGACATTTCTCCTCCAAGGAGACAATCCAAGAAACTAAGGTTGAAGTGAAGCCACTTACCATGGTTTTTTTCTCATTCTTTGTTGTATTCTTCTTCTTTGTCATGGAGTAGTTCTCCGATTCACTTGTGTATTGTGAACCCTCATCTAGAAATGTGATAGGTAGTATGAATCGAATGCTATGTGAGTGGGTTTGTGTTTAATACAAGGTTTGAGGTAATTTTTCATGATTCTTGAGTGGTGTTCTTCATATATCAAAGGTAGGTCAAATTGACCTAGGTGGAGGAAATCCCCCTTTGGGCCTTAGGAATTTGGATTTATTCACCAATTGGGTAACCCCATCTAGGATGATTGAGGACAAGCTCAAACATGGGATTAGTGCCATGAACCTATCATGATGGTTACTTTTTTGCTGTTCAGGATTTGTTTCCTAGGGAGTGGTCTTAGCAACCCTTAGTCATGAGTCAAGAGAGCTAGCTTCCTAGCTTATTTTGACATTTCTTGATTAATCGTCTAAGAGTGTGGGGTTTCTCCACTAGTATCGACCTCCTACTGGTTTATGAACACACCTTTCCACACTATCATTACATTTGGCTAACCTTGATACGAGACTAGGGGGAGCAATACCCAGACGAAGCCTTCTCACATTGAAACCACCTCAATTTTACTTTCTTTGCTTGTTTTCAACTGTAGTTTTTTACCTTTAACTCCGAACTGTTTTCTAGATAACAATTTAAATGATTGAAGTAGGAGTACAGGGACCGCCTCGGGTTGACAATTAAAATGCTTGCCCACTACACCCTACTAGAGTTTGCACTTGGCCTTTGGTCGAGATTTTATTGTGTAGTTAGTAACGAGTCGCATACTGTGAAGATGGCACCGAGACTATGAAGATCGCAAGGTTCCAAGAAGATCTCTAAAGCTTGCGGGCAGTGTCAGGATCATGTTGGCAGACTCTGATGTCAGCAAGCGGCTCATGAAGATCGTAAGTGATATGGCATGTTTTGTGCCGAGATAATGGTTACCCTGTCGACTTAACGGGCATGATCTATGTCCTTGATTCGTGCACTCGGGGACTATAAAAGGAAGAGTTTGTTGAATTCAAGCGGAGAGTCTTATAGAGAGATTATGGCTTCTACTTCAAGGTTTAGAGAGAGAGCTACGAGCTAAAAAAGGACGAAGGAGATTTTTCCCTACCCAAGGCTAGAAGAAGGTTCATTTCTTCTCCCAAGGTGGAATCAAGCGTCTAAGAGGAACTAAGATCACTTTCTAATGGGTTTTTCTTCTATCTTATTTGTGTTTTCTCCTCTATCTATTGAGTAGTGTCCAATTTCACTTGGATGTTGTGAACCCTAGTGTAGGATGCGTTAGATAGTAGGAATTGAACTCTATGTGTGTAAGTTTGTGTTTAAAAAAAATTTTGAGGTATTTTTTCAAGATTCTTGAGTGGTGTTCTTCATATCGCAAAGTTAGGTCAAATTGACCTAGGTGGAGGAAATCCCTTTTGGGGCTTAGGAATCTAGATTTCTTATCCAATTAGGTAACCCCACATAGGGTGATTGAGGACAAGCCTCAAACATCGAATTAGTACCATGAACCTATCATGAAGGTTATTTTTTTGCCGTTCAGGATTTGTTTCCAAGGGAGTGGTCTTAGCAACTCTTAGTCGATTAGTCAAGAGACCTAGCTTCCTAGCTTATTTTGACATTCCTTGATTAATCGTCTAAGAGAGTGGGGTTTCTCAACTAGTCGCAACCTCCTCACGGTTTATGAACACACCTTTTCACACTAGCATTCTATTCGGCTGACCTTGAAACGAGAATAGCGGGAGCAATACCCAAGTGAAGCCTTCTCACATTGAAACCACCTCAATTTACTTTCTTTGCTTATTTTCAACTGTAGTTTTTTTAGCTTTAACTCCAAACTGTTTGCTAGATAACAATTTAAACGATTGAAGTAGGAGTACAGGGACCGCGACGGGTTGACAATTAAGACGCTTGCCCTATACTACACTCTACTAGCGTTGGAGTTGGGCTTTAGTAGGGATTTAATTGTGTAGTTAGTAACGAGTCACATACCATGAAGATGGCACCGAAACTGTGAAGATCGCAATGTTCCAAGAGGATCTCTACAGCTCGCGAGAATTTTTAGGATCACGGCCATAGACCCTGATGTCAGCAAGCGTCTCATGAATATCGTAAGTGATATGGTGCGTTTTGTGTCGAGATCATGGTTGCCCTGTTTACTTAACAGGCAAGATCTCTGACGGTGATTCGTGCACATGGGTACTATAAAAGGTAGAGTTAGATGAATTCAAGGGGGGGCTCTTAGAGAGTGATTGGAGCTTCTGCTTCAAGGTTTAGAGAGAGCTACAAGCTAAAAGAAGGAGGAAGGAGATTTTCATCTACCCAAGACTAGAAGAAGGTTGATTTCTTATCCCAAGGTGGAATCAAGCATCTAAGAGGAAGGAAGATGACTTTGTAATGGATTTTCATCTATCTTATTTGTGTTTTCTCCTCTACCTATGGAATAGTCTCCAATTTCACTTGGATGTTGTGAACCCTAGTCTAGGATGTATTAGATAGTAGGAATTGAACTCTATGTGTGTGGCTTTATTTTTAATACAATGTTTCAGGTAGTTTTTCATGATTCTTGAGTGGTGTTCTTCATATCTCAAAGTTAGGTCAAATTGACCTAGGTGGAGGAAATCCCACTTTGGCCTTTAGGAAGCTAGATTTCTTGACCAATTGGGTAATCACATCCAGGGTGATAGAGGACAAGCCTCAAACATCGAATTAGTGCCATGAACCTATCATGATGGTTACTTTTTTGTCGTTTAGGATTTGTTTATGAGGGAATGGTCTTAGCAACCCTTAGCCGATTAGTTAAGAGAGCTAGCTTCCTAGCTTGTTTTGACATTCCTTGTTATGATTTATGAACACACCTTTTCACATTAGCATTCCATTAGGCTAACCTTGATACGAGACTATGGGGGAGCAATACCAAGTGAAGCCTTCTCACATTGAAACAACCTCAATTTACTTTCTTTGATTGCTTTCAACTGTAGTTTTTAACCTTTAACTTCGAACTTTTTGCTAGATAACAATTTAAACGATTGAAGTAGGAGTACAGGGACCGCATCGGGTAGACAATTAAAATGCTTGCCCTATACTACATCCTACTAGAGTTTGCACTTGGGATTTAGTCGAGATTTAATTGTGTAGTTAGTCATGAGTCACATTCCGTGAAGATGGCACCGAGACTGTGAAGAGTGCAAGGTTCCAAGAATATCTCTACAGCTTGCGAGCAGTGTCAGGATCACTGTCGCAGACCATGATGTTAGGAAGCGACTGGTGAAGATCGTAAGTGATATGGTGCGATTTGTGATGAGATCATGGTTACCTTGTTGACTTCAAGGGCGTGATCTCTGATCGTGATTCGTGCAGTCAAGAAGGTAGAGTGAGCTGAATTCAAGGGGAGCATCTTAAAGAGATTGGAGCTTCTTTTTTAAGGTTTAGAGAGAGAGCTACGAGCTAAAGAAGGAGGAAGGAGATTTTCACCTACCCAAGGCTAGAAGAACGTTGATTTCTTCTCCCAAGCTGGAATCAAGCATCTAAGATGAAGGAAGATAACTTGTAATGAGTTTTTCTTCTATATTATTTGTGTTTTCTCCTCTATCTATGGAGTAGTCTCCCATTTCACTTGGAAGTTGTGAATCCTAGTCTAGGATATGTTGGATTGTAGGAATTGAACTCTATGTCTGTTGGGTTTGTGATTTATATAATGTTTGAGGTATTATTCATGGAATTTGGGTGTTGATTGTTCACATCTCAATTTTGGGACAATTGACCTAGAAGAAGGTAATCCCCTTGTAGCCCAATCTTTGCAATATGGGTAATCTTTCTTAGGGCAAATCAGGAAATTCCTCATTCATCGATGTCTTGCAATGATATCGTGTTGATTGGTTACTTTTCGCCATTCTGGATTAACGTTCGAGTAATTTATTTGCGAACCTTGGTTGATCGATTAAGAGATATAGGATTTTCCTAGTTAATCATGATAATCCTTAATCGATCAATTGAGAGGGTTAGGGTTACCAAGCTAATTGCAAACTCCTCGCAGTGTATGATCATACCTATCATACTAGAGTTCATTCTTTGTGTCTTTGATATGATCCCAAATGATCCATTATACACGTTAAATTTACTTGACGAAGAAGCTAACTAAGTTGGGAAGAAGAAGGGAAGAATTTGGCCAAGTCAAAATCCGTGTTCAGGGTACATACTTTGGAGGCATGGTTCTCTCAATTGGCTTGGTGGAAATTCAATTTTAAGGGTTTGTTTTGCAGATAAAGTTACCATCTTTCCAATGGTATGCTTTGTGGATCCAGATGATGTCATTAAGGTTGTTTTCCAAGGCCTCAAAGTTGCTACCTCAAAACTAGAAAACTGCCTGAAAATGGCTAAGGCAGAAAACTGTTTTGTGAAGCCTACTTTGGAGCTCAATTCAAGGATCATGGATGAGATTCAAGTCAAAGGGCTTCGACAACATGAAACTAGGTATGTTTTTGAACAAAGGGAAGGAATTGAATGAAGAATTGGAGTTCTGGAAGGCCTCGAACGAAAGGCGTGAAGTTAGTACGAAAGCTGCCTTTTGACTGTTTTGCTGGCAGCTTACTTGTGCTGCAAGAAAGGGAGTTCAAACCCGAATTTTGTGTCCTGTTTAGTGTAGACTTTTACCTTATTTGTTTCCTTGTTCATCTAGATTTGTATTAGGTTTTATTGGCTATAAATAGCCCTCCGTTTACGTTGTAAAAACATAAGACTTTGATTAATCGAAAAACAAACCCTTTGGTTTTGTGCAAGTTGCGACTTGTTTGAGTTTGGTGGAATCCAAGCTTGTGAGCTTCGTATCGATTGAATATCCTCTTCAATTGTGGTCGAGCAGCTACCCTTTAATCCAATCGAGCGTTCCCTAGGTGTGGAATCGTCCTTTTGGTTCCGTTTTATCCAAGTTCGTATAAAGAACGCTTCGTTCTTGATTCGAGCTCAATCGATTCTTCGATTGTTTGCAATGTACGTGTTATGCTTTCTCAAATCGAACTCGTTAAAGTTTACTTGCTTGCTTGTTTCAATTACTAGTTTCCTTAGCTTCAACCTCTGTTCTTTTTTCAATTCCAACTTAAATCTATGCACACGAAGAGCTTCATCTCACAATTGCTAGACTATGGAAGTCCGTTGTGATGAGTAGTCATCATAAGATTGTTCACAACAGTGTAAAAGGATGAACTGAACGCTTCCGTGAAATCTCCATTATTTTTTTATTACAGATCGAGAAAAGCGAAATACAACAATGGGGTAACACTTAGGTCGCATGAATTCCAGTCATAGGTAACCCTATACTCTACATTTTACTACACCATATAACAGACGTGATTCCTCACCATGCAAACATATCGAAAAAAGATCAAAGATACATTTACTTGTCTCTTCTTGGCATTCATTAACTTGGATCTTATTCTGACCCAGCAATCTTCTTCTTCAATGTGTCGATGTCTGTAGCCAGTTCTTTCCTGCTTTGCTGACAAGTACAAGAAAGAAGGTGTTGTTAACCATACTGATACAATCAGAAGTAGTTTCTGTAGGAAACGTCAAGGCCAAGTAGTTAACCAACTCGGGGGTTGTTACTACAATCCCTTACCTTGAACAAGAGGTATCGGTAGACAAACCATCCGGTGTAGCCAAGGCCAACCAACTCCATGATTTTGGGGAGCTGGAAGTTTGCAGAACAGGAAAGGGGAAGAAAAGTAGGCAATTACATATATATTACGTAAACAAGCATTGTCATCCACATTAAAGCAAACCATCTGTTAGGATAGAAGAAATCCCACTTACCAAAGGCACAGAGTTGATGGCACCTACAACAATGGATGATAGCCAAACAGCAACTATTGCCCCACCTCCATAGAGAAGCACGGTGGACTTGTTCTCAACTGCATCCCACTACTCAGGTACAAACATTTTCAGAATACTATCACCAATTTCAACAGCCAAGTCTTGGGGCTGAACGGCCAAGCATTCGAAAAGGCGAGGTGGAAATATATAAATAAAACAGTAGCTAAGTTCCCTATACTACAAACCACCACCATCTTGAAACTCACCTTCTCCTTCAGATCAGTGAAGATCTCATTAGTATCGACTGAGGTGGAGGTCTCATCTGAAGAGGTGGCTCTGGTCAGGAACAGAGAAACCCTGGAGGACTCTGCTTCGGATGAAGAAGAAACAATAAGCATGTAGGTATTCATAGGTGAAATGGAAAATACTACTTCAGTTAGCATATATCATCCTCATGCCTACTTCCATATCAACTACCAATATCCAAGTTTTCCTAATTGCCACTCTAACAAAGGTCAATGGCTCGAACAACTCCCACCCAAAAGAAAAAAATGGCTCAAACAAGAGCTTGATTCCCCCGCCCTAACATATTGGCATTCGGTAGCGCCGCAAGAACAAATGCACATTGCTTTCAATCATAAAGAATGGACTCACAGAAAAGAAGGAAAAAAATTAATAATAAGAAGCTATTCATCACAAACGGCCAGAAGAAGCCAACCCCCCCGTCTGCTAGGTTTCAATTGATAATTATCCTGATTTTTCAGGAAACAGAATTCCAACCTCTGTCTGAACTAGGCGAGTTGGCACAGAATTCCCAAAACGTACATCTAGCAAACAGATGAACCATGGCAACTGGGCCAAGTAACAATCGGACGAAGTACCTGAGAGCACTTTGACGGAAGCAGGCGAGAAGCGGGAGGGGAAGCGAGGTGGAAGGAGAGGTAAGCAAGAGCAGCGCGCCGTTCTGACGGCGGAGACGCCAGGAAGGAGGAGGGAAGTGGTGGAAGCCGACGCGTACATCGTCGCCGACATGGGATTTCAAGGGATTGCGTGGTTGAGAGAGGCGAGGGGGGAGGGGGCTTGCTTACACTCTCGGCTCTTCTCTATCCCCGGCTAGCTAACGCTCTTTCTCCTCCTCAGTTTTGTTTGACTTGGATTGGCTTCCACTGTTTTTTTTCCCCCCAGTTTTTCTCCTTTTTCCAGTTTCCGGCGTTGCGATATTCTTCCTGTGCTGGGGCTTGGATACTCATTCTCCGCACGACACGTGGATGCTTCAAGGGATATGATTGGTGCGTTGCCTATCTAAAATCCATTCTGCGTGGCGAGGCTAAAATGATCCCAGCTTTTCTATTTTTCCTTTTCCTTCGTAATTAGCGTAATACCCTAACCGAGTACGCCAGATTTATACGGTGAATTTAATGGTTGTCCTAAATGAATTATATAAGTTTTGACAAATTCATATTCAAATGAAAATTTTTGTGTTTGGTATTTCAAAGAATTTATTTTCAATTCTAAATTTTGAATTCTATGGATTTAGAACTAGTTATAGCAATTCCTCATATTGAAATGAAATATTTTTGTGTTTGGTATTTAAAAGAATTGGTTTTCAAATCCAAGGGGAATAAACTAAATTTTTTGATTTGATTTAGACACAAAAGTCACTCAGGTATGCGTCCGCCTAGCCACTAGTTAGGCCGAGTAGTAATTCTCCTCTTTTATTAAGTAAACTATTTATACATATGACATACCAAACACACGAATTCATTTGATAATGAATTCTCCACAACATATCATTTTATTTCTAAGGATTTGAATATGACATAACAAACACAAGATTTCATTTTACATTGAATTCTACACGATATTTCATTTTACAATGAAATGAATTATCGATTCATTTGGTACCAAACGGTCTGTTAATTGTTTTCTATCATTTTATTTTCACTCGAATTTCAAAAATTTGCACGGAAGGAACGAATTCGTTGTGATATAAACAATTTTACTCATTGTCAATATATATTGAGAAATGTTTTTTGAACCACCCGTAAAACTCATACTATCTTGGAATTACATTCATTTTTCACTCAAAATTTTAAAAATTTTGCTTTAAGAAATGAGTACATCGTAATCTATTTGATCTGCAATTTTTTGGGAAAAGACAATTTTCGGATCAAATATACCACCCTATTGTAGAGTGGTAACTAGTAGAAGTAGTGGTGTCAATTGAGCGGGTTGGGTCGGGTTCGAATTGGGTCTAACCGAGTTGGGTTCAATCGGGTTGCAAGTTCAATCGGGTCGGTTTCAATTGGATCGGGTTTAATTGGGTTGCAGGTCAATTGGGTTACGAGTCAATCAGGTCACTGGTCAATTGGGTTACGGATAGGGTTGGGTTACAGGTGCATCAAATTACTGGTTTATTGGATTGTGGGTTAATTCGGGTTCGGTTTGGTCGGATTAAGGGTTATTCGGGTCAACCCATTGGATCATTTACTTCTTGACAGAAAATAATATTTTACAAACTACAATATTTGAATATAAATTGTAGGTAATGATACAAAATTTAAGAAAATGCTAATATGATAATATTTTACACATACAAATTAAATATCCATTACGCTAGTTTAAAAAATAAATATAAATAAAATAGTGTATATAAAAGCTTTGTTGTTGGTTATAATTTTTTTGTTTATGGTGAGAGATTATAACTTCACTTATTTTATTAATTTAAAAAATAATTGAATCAGTAAAAATTTGAGAATGAAGTAAAACAGGTAGACTATATGCTTATACAGCTTATGAACATCATTCCGAATCACCCACTTATATATCTTCACAATTTTTTATATATTCACGGTAACATCTCATCCTAAAACTCATGGGTCGAACAACGGTTCGCTAAAATATGATATTATCATCTAGTTCGTATCGTCGATTTATTAATTTATAATAAATAAATAAAATCAGTAAAAAGTTGAGAATGATGTAAAAAGGGTAAACTATCCACTTATATATCTTGATAGGGATCATTGATTTCATTGATTTTGCGGATTTCATTGATTTTCAAGCGTTGATTTTTTTAATATAGTTATGGGTGGTGGAGATACGAATTTTTGTCTAACTCTTCCTATTATCTTAAAAAATTTATCCTTTGAATTTCATAAAATAAAAAATGAATGAAAAGATATTTCACATATTATTATATTATAAATTAAATATTTAAGAAAAAACATCAATTTATACCATCAATTCTACAAATAATTTTCAATTATTAGGAGAACAACAATTCTTTCTTGGTAAATTTAAAAATAGAATAATGTATACATTGAATTTTCGTACAAGCATTCGGGTCAAATGGGTTATTCGAGTTGGGTTCGGTTCGGTTACGGGTTATTTGGGTTATGAATCATTCGGGTTATAGATGGGTCGGGTTATGGGTTGGATCGGATAACGAGTTCATCGAGTTATGGGTTGATCCGATTACGGGTCAATTGGTTTCGGGTAACGGGCGGGCTTCAGGTGGTTGACTTTTTGTCAAATCGGGTTACGGACGGGTTATGGGTCGGATGGGTTGGGCGGGTTAGTCGGGTCGGGTTCAATTTTGATAGCTCTAAGTAGAAGACGTTGATGACATCTGGTAAATGACAGATAATCTATTTATACTATCATGTATACAACCATTTTACACTATTGTATATTCATACACCATTGTAGTGTTTCATACCACATGGTATATAATCTTATGTACTACCAACAATTATCGCCATGTTATGGACGAGTGATAACGTTCGAATACACATGATTATTCCTTCGTTTCTTGGACGTTTGGGATCGATTGCTTGCCTATTTAAGTCAATTTCATGCTAGGTTGTGCATATTTGTGATGTTTCAGGTTCTAGAGCGCAAGGGGGGCATTGGAGCAAGTTTCAGGGCATTTGGAGAGCAGACAAGATTTGGAGGTTGTGAAGACAAATTGCACGGTATGGGAAGTATGTTTCTTGATCGTGGATTAGGGCTTTGGACTATGGATCTCGGGTGGAGAAATCCCCAGTATGGTGTGTGCTATTCCACGACCGGGGAATAGGAGTGGTTTGTCGGGGAATTTACTTTTAGGTGACTAACCTTACCTACCGACTATTTGATGTTACACTGTATGAATCCTACTCCTCGACCATGTAACACAATTGGGGAACACCCTAGCTGCAGATATAAAGAGGATTTTTGCTTTTTTCCAGCAAGGGACGGATTCTTCGGACCAAAAATAGAGTTGAGACCTTTGTGGAGAGAAAACGTGATGAAAGACAACCCAAGTAGCGTTTGGAGCATCTCTAGTGACCATTGGAGCTCGATTCCCTTCCTTTGGAGTGGTGGATGACTACCTGGAGAAGAGTTTCACAATAACCCGATGATTTCCACTTCAGCCATAATGTTTCCTTTTTCGTCCATGGAGTAAATCTCCTCTGCAATTGAGTATGAAGAACCCTAACTTTATATGTTAGGACATCGTTGTATGAACCCTTGATTCCTGAATATAGGCATTAGTTATGCAATTGAGGCATTTTCCAGAATTGATTGAGTTCTGATGACATTCGTTTGATTTGTGGTTTAACCTAAGAGAGATAAAATCTTATTAGGTTGATAAAGCACTCTAAATTGCAAGTAGGGAATCAATTGCACGAGAGTGAATCGATTTATTGCTCCGTACTGGATTCAAAACTCTGTAGTGGAAGTTTAATTTAATTGAATTGATTTTTTAGTTTATTTTGGTTGATGATAGTCTCCCTTCGGGTACTCTATTCCAGAGGGTCTGTATTGCTTTAGTCGAGATTCCATACTATCTCATAACTTTCCACAGTCTAAATGTCAATGGAAATGAATTAAGGAGAATTACTACTCGACCTAACTAGTGACTAGGTGGATGCATACCTTAGTGACTTTTGCGTCTAAATCAAATAAAAAAATTTAGTTTATTCCCCTTAGTTTTTAGTAATCTACACTACAATTCGAACATTGGATAACTGCATTAATCTCTGAGTAATAGTAATTATAGGGTTCGGGTTGACAAATAGAGTTTAGATCCACTATACTATATCTTAGGTCGTGGTTGCTTTTGGGCACTTGACTCGTCCCGAATATCACAATTAATTCCCGCCTAAGGTCCAAGTATAAACCTTAATAGGGTGCAATATAGAGCAAGTATGTTTGAATATCGACTCGGGCCGGTACGTGCACCCCTACTTCAATTGTTTGAAACATTATCTAGCAAATCGGTTTTGGTTGAAAAGTTTGGTAATTAAAGTAAAACAAGACAAAAGTAAATGGTTTTGAAAGTTCTTTGTGAGGAGGATCACTCGAGTGTCGTTTCCCCCTAACTACTACCATGGCATGTGGAATCGAATTAATTGTTATGGGCAAGGTGACCGTGAACCTCTAGGAAACGCAACAATGGTCGTAGACCACACTCTAGAATGCCAAACCAAGGGATACATTATAGGCTACTCAAGTAGCCCTCTTGGTTGAGGCAATTGATGGTTGACTTACTCTCTCACTCAACCCAAGGGTTGGTCGGCTTAATCGCGCTTAAACAAATTGCTTAATTCAACATAGAGTTTTGCCCTACATTCATCGGCGGATCCAGAACACAGAAGAGCATTGGGCCGCATTTTATTAGAAAATTAGAATCATAAAATAATTAATGATTATAGTTTTTTTACACTGTAAATTGTACACGACGGTATCTTAATTTAGCAAATGCATCAATAATTTAGTCCACATCCATACCAATAGTATACACTGTCCCAAATAAAATACTTGAGCAATTGACAAGAAATTCATCGCTCATTTATTGCAAATTAGTTTTTACATGTTTCTTTGTTCAAAAGGTTCTCTTAGGTTCTCTCCGTAGTAGTTGTTAAAACGAGCAGCGGCAACACTAGACAAATCAATATCAATTTGCATTATGTGTCCATTCCTATACCACCAGTTGTCTTATAAATTTTCAAGGTAACAAACCTCATATTTCTTTTAGTCTATTATGCTCTATAATTTTAGGTTTCATTTTTTTTTTGGACGAAAAATCTTTGAGGCTAGAATTTCTAGGCTAAATTTAGAGTAGTGATTTGAATATGTTCATCTAAATTAATTTTCTAATTATATCCAATTTTATTATAAAATAGCATTAGGTCGAATACCTAAAATCGAAAAATTCATAAGGCCTATACCAACTATGGATCCAGAGGAGGGATGGGCCGGGGCCCGGGATGGCCACCCCCTGGATCCGCCACTGCCTACATTAACCTAGATTGGTGACTTAAAAAGCCCAAGGAATCCCAACTCAATTGAGCCTCCCTTGAAAGAGGGGTTTTCCCTCTAATCTAGGTTAGAATGGCCAATTGGATTGCTAAGCACAAAC